ATTAGACGATAAGCTATATAAAGAAGTGGGCCAAAGAAGACATATGGGCTAGGGAGACCAAGATTGAGCATAGGAAGTGTAAAGCTAGACTAGCGTTAGCAGCCCTTTCGGCTCGGCCGCCGGGCGTAAATAAATTGTGTGTGTGTATTCATTTATCAACCCGAGCTAAGGATATAGCACTAAGATTTGAACACGGGGTGCGGGGACCCCGGATTGTGAGCCTGTCCACAATATTTCCCTTGACCTGGCTTGCAATTCGCGGGGAAAATGACGTACAGGGTTGGTGACTCGCATGATGCTAGTTCGCATGGCTGAGGCTGGATCTTTAGTCGGGGTAACATAAAGCTCCTGGCGTCAAGATTTCGGTCTTAATCCTCCCGGACAGCAGAAAATGGGTCACAAATAGGTAATTCGGTAAATAACTTTAGGCGAACACATGGAAGCGTCAGGGGCTGATATCTACTGCTGTATACCAAGTCAATATACTATTATCCACCGTTGTTCTGTATCGTCACATGTTTTGTGCGTTGTAGAATTCTATAACATCTGGCATGACACGCGTTGTTAATTCTGTAGTGGCTTTCCGCCAAGGCGGTAGTACCGGGGATGAAGTATGCTTTACTATTGACTCGGTATATTTTGTTCCTGACATGTGGCCTTGGTATAGGCTTTGTTCTTTTCTCTTTCCCCACAGTCCGCTATGCCCTATCTGCATTCGTAACGGATCCCCACAATGCGTTAGAGTGACGCAACGCGTGATGCCAATTAAAGCCTAGCTCGCCAGCTTCGCACCGGTAACTGGCCGCTTGCGGACCCAATCCGAACTTGTGCGTATGCGTATGCGTATGCGTATGCGTATGCGTATCTATGTAGATCTCTTGAGCACGAGATCGATTGGCGAATCGTCCTTCTCCCGAATGTAGTAGCTAAGACCGCCACCAAGAGTCTCAGCAGTCCGTTGCCGAGGTATGCAAAGCGGTTCGCGCCTGGGTCGCTTGTGAACTTCCAGTCTTTCCATTGCGGGTCCCGCAAAGCTTCGAGGTACTGCAGAGTAGATCCGGGCCACAAAGCGATGACCTTACCAAAAGCTGACCCGGCCTTATGCCAAGAGCGACATGACTCGACTCAGATGCTGTCCTTCCTCCATTTATCTTTCCAAGAATCAAAATCGGTGACTGCACTGCGACAAACCTCCAAAGATCGGAGCTTCTCCTTCTGGAACTTGAAAAGGGGTTGGATCATATATTGAATCTCCGCCTCGATGCAGGTCCGGACAGGCCCGTTACCGACGGGTAAATTAGGACCAAGCGTAAAAAAGTCATTTGGGCAGTGATCAACAGCGATCTCAAGATATACCTGAGGCTCATATAACAGCCATGTTGATAAATTGCAATCACACCTTAGTGGGGCTTAAACGGCGCATGCAAAGATTGAAACTTACCTCTCCACACATTCTCGAGCTGGCGACCTCGGGCGCCTTAGACAGGAATCCAGGGCTTAAACGTCGTATCAAACCCAGTAGCGCAGATGGGGACATCCACTGAGCACTCACCCTCGCAGTCGCTACACACGACGCCGGTTGTTATGATTTTAGTAATCTCTCAAAACTAGTATTTGCACACGGTCGTCTCTTAGGGATTCAAGGTAGTCTGTCCCGTGCGTAAGCCTGCGGCACCCGACGGGCCGCTCCGGCATCAGCGCCTTCTCGAGCTCCGGGTTCCCAAGCTGTTGTTGCGTAAGACTTTCCATGCACTGGCGCATATTGTGCTGCTACTCGGAGCCGCGGTGAAAGATGGCACACACGCGATTGGAGGCAGCCTTGGTTTTCTTGCGCATGTCAATGTGCGCCATTTTATTTCCGGAAAACTGCTGTTTTCCGCTTTTGAGATATACAGCTGTAACTAATGTCCGTCACGAGTATTTTGTCCCATACCTCGGGAAGAGTATTGTAGTGTTTCAATTTACTCTTCGTTGGCCTTGGTAGTCATTTGTCTTTGATGAGAGGTAGCGTGCATCACGTTTGTCTGACACTTATCAAAATAAGGTTTTGTCTAATGACGCAGTAAGCAGAGGTCCCAGCTATGCGTAGACGCTAATGACATCTATACGACCCTACCTTTGTTTAGCGATTGAAGTAATTAAGGGAGGAAAATAAAACTCTCTCCCCCTTTGCTTTGAATATTCCTAAGTCATTGACTCTGCCTATGTTTGGACTCTCAAGGCGGGCAGAGATTTCTAGAGTTGTTCATGGGATAATAGTCTTGTCATATAAAGTCATAAACCTAAAACTATGACTATTGTCTCATGGAAAGCAAACACTGCTAAACATTGCGATCGATTAACACCCGTCTTCAAATTCTTCCCCTCCGGAAGAATGCAAGCGGCAAATCAACCTCTCTTGCTCCTTGAACTAGTTAGCATGGATTCACAGCGATAGAATGCGCGAAAAGCGACGGCGAGGTTGACTCACTAAGGAATTCACCCAAGCTCTTAGCCAACCCATCGAGCCGATAAGTCGAGCTGATTCCGCCCTCAAGAATTCCCTTAACAAGGAAATGGACGCAGCGGAGATTTCTTAACTCAAACCGTTCAATCTCGTAGCCCTCGCGGTAGTCATCTCCGAGCAGCTGCTTGATGCGGTCGATTGAGAGGAACGAGCGCAGCCAATCATACTCGTCGTCTTCTAGCACCCAAAACCCGACGTTAGCATTGGACCCCTTGTCTCCAGATCTTGCGTGAACTCTTGTACCGAGCGGTGCTCGAAAGGTTGCGCCGTATTTGGACTGGTCATGAGTTTCGCTGCTGTCGTAGCTGACTTGTCCAGCAAAGGGCTGGGTCTTTGAAGGTAATACTATGACTTTCTGCGCGTCATCCATTATGACACGCAAGTTGACAATATCATACTTCACGAGGAATGGTTCGTAAGCGATAAAAGGACGTGGAGCCTACTGGAACGCGTGTTAGAGTTGAGGATACACGGGGTGCCAGAGCAAGTGTACCCACCATGCGAAAATCCATGCAGGCGTGCTCTCCGCAATAGCCCCCCAGCCCGTAGCCTCCGATGGTCTTTGGCAGTGTAAGTAGAGTCTCGGCCGTGGGAGCTTGGGCGAAGACTCGGAACATGCAAGTCGCGAGAGCCTGGCTGGTTGCATTTTGGCCTGGAGTGCCGTATTGATCCAACCTAAGGACGGTATAGTCGGCACAATTTGTGATCATTTCGTTGAAACAGCCCTGCATGTCGGCGAGCTTCTCTGCAATGTCGAGCCCCGTGGCAAAAAGATAGTACTCGATCTGGTAGCCACCTTGCATGCAGACTGCCAGCTTAGTCGTAGGTGGCGGGTGAGCGCCCGTAAAACCAGTGACAGAGACTCTGTTCTTGCCATTAGGCGATATTTGAACATCGGTGATGTCCGCAACCACGTCGGGGTTGAGGTAGAAGGGACCTTGAATTTCGTACACGAGCTGTGCCGTTATGGTGTCCCGACTCACCAGGCCACGCGCTCCTTCGTGAAGTGTGATGTCAAAGTCTCCGCTTGCGCTGATTTCTGCCACTGGAAATCCCTGGTCCCAATTCTGAGGAATAGACATGAAACCGGAAAAGTTACCGCCAGTGGCATAGCAACCACACTCAATAACATCTGCTCTGGTCATTAGCTCAGCTGCCCTGCGGCCCCAAATTATGAACCAGAAGGGTCACGTACGCCCAGCCAGCAGTGATCCTGCCAGCTGATTATAGTCAGTCTCCTTCCATCCATGCCACCATGCCGCAGCACCTTGGGAAGACGAAAAGTGTTAGCAGTACGCTGTGCCAGCGGTCAAAAAGTCAGTGGACTTACCCATCACAGGGCTAGCGTCGCAGCATCTTCCGGAAATGATAATGTCGGCGCCCATTTTGAGCGCCTCGACGATACCTGACATGCCCACATAGGCGTTGACGCTGACTATGGGCTTGGTGATGTGCGACAAGTCACGGCCCTTGGTGTCAAGGTGTGGAATAGAGCCAGGTGACTTCAGCGTGTCTAGCAAACTCAGAACATTGTCACCCTCGACATATGCAACCTTGAGGCTGGTGATGCCATACGACTCGAGCAACTGCCGGCATTGCGCTGCGAGCCCTGCTGGGTTGAGCCCTCCACCGTTGTGGATAATCTTGATGCCCTTGGCCGCCACGATCTCAGCCGTCTCGCGGTCTAGTTGGCGGAGAAAACCCGCCTCGTAGCCTTTTTCAGGGTTCGTCTGCTTCTCCAAAGCAAGCCAAGCTAAGTTTTGGCAGTATTAGATGCAAAAATCTTGTTGTCTTGGACAGAGGGTGTTTGGCATACCGATGTTTACCTCAGCGAGGTAATCTGCCGTAACGACATCAACCGGCCCTTCTCTCACTGCGCGATACAAGGCCAAGGGCCCATCACCAACAGCGCCACTAAAATTTGCAACACGAATTGGGCGCTTTGTTCCTGCCATTGTGAGAGAGTCTTTTGCTATGTTTTGACAGCTCTAGCGACAACAAACTCCGATGACAAGTATCAAATACTTGTTGTTGTTGTTGTTGCCGCCACTTCCCGAACTTTATTTTCCCCCAGTCATGTGCAATAAGTTTTGCCTTTTGGAGCGATTGCTTACTTAAATAACCTTTTTTCACAGTACTATGACTATCTGACACTACTACTAAGTACCTGAGATTCGCATGGGACTATACACTATATACACGTGACCGTGGCTGTACTGTCCCGAGGGGTGCCCGATGGACCCCTGAAGGTCAGCCTCTGGTTCAGAGTATCGTAACATTTTTAGCGAGGCATAGTAAGGGTTTCGAAAGCGCGGTGGACCTTTTTGCCTAGTGCTGTACAACACATCAAGACTCGGATTGTTGTCACCCCTTCGTTGTCATGCTTTTCTAACGGCTACTACCCCAAGCGATCTGAATGATCAAGCAGGGATAGACTCACTGGATTTCAGCTCATAAAAAAGCTTTCCAGGACAAGGAGATTTAAGAATCAGTAGTCCAGGCCTAACCAGCACTTTAGAACAACCATGGAGCCCAAGCCATACTCTGTGAGCCGAGAGGCCGACCACATCTTTTGTGAACATCTCCTAAAGGATAAGCAACTGCGAATTCCTGAGAAGGTATTGGCACTGGCTGAGAATACATCAATTGGCGCACCCGATACAATCAATACCACCTATTTGCCAGTGCCGTAAAATTTCACCGAGATCAGTGCCGCCCTATGGGCGCTTGCGACCACCTTTGGCAATGCCATAGTACGGGAACGATTCGGCGTATCGCAAACCGCCTGCATCAATGCCGATATTGCCAGTCTATTTGTGATGTCCGTTATAATTGCTACTGTTGACGAAAAGCCAGTCTATCACCCCGAGATCATTCCCAGACTCCACAGGTATGACCTGGGGGGCGTGCCATGGATACATACCGACTTCTCTTTACCGCCGTATATCGTACAAGGGACAACCGCTTCTTCCATCTCCACGATAGCTTGAATGCGGGCAAGTCACTTACCATGCTCAGCCTGCCACTCAGTAACGACATGGCTTCTTCCCGCGAGGACATGTTCCAGACGTACGCATCCAAGGTGGTCGAGTTTGATGCTGACTGGCTCGACAGCGAGGCGAATGAACACTGGCGCCAGGCTGGAATAGTGTGTCTCACGGAAAACGAATTCCGCGCCAGCGCCCAGGGCCAGGCCATCCAAAACGACGGGCTCTACCTCATCCAGCCGTCGGACGTGGGCATCCTTGCCCCTGTTCCCTATCCCAATGTCAAAGATGCCAGCCATCGCTCTCTGCAAGGATTGCGTCTCCTAGGCCTCTCACGCGTCATCGCCGGACCTAATGTGGCCAGATTGACCGCCCTCTTCGGCATCACTGCCATTCGTGTGTCTTGCACCACGTAGCCTGATGTAAGGCTGCTCCTCCTCGAGGGCAATCTCGGCAAGCGCGACGCATCTATCGATCTGAAATCCGAATGGGGTCGCCAGACGTTCAGACAGCTCATCCTCGATGCCGACATTATGCTTGACGGCTACTGGCCCGGCGCCCTGGAGCGTCTCGGCTTTGGTGAATCCTACATACGCATACTAGCTAGGAGACGTGAGCGCGGAATCACCGTCGTTCGCGAAAACTGCTACAGATGGCACGGCCCGTTGGTCTCACGATCAGGTTGGCAGCAGATCTCCGACTGCTTCACCGGCGTCTCCTGGGGAATGGGACAATCCATCGGCCTTGAGGAGCCCATTGTGCCGCCGCTGCCAAACTCGGACTACCAGACAGGCAATTTGGGCCTAATCGGCATCCTGACAGTCGTGGACAGGAGGGCGAACGAAGGAGGTAGCTACACCGTCTCCATTTCTCTGAACCAAACCAACCAATTTATTACGAGCCTGGGCAAGCTCTCTACAGAGGTCCAGGTCAGCCTGCGTGCACTGTATCTCGATTTTGCACGCCGACGCTTGGATGAAATGATGGCCCTCGTGGTGAAGTACGTACAGGCGGCACGTGTAAACATGCCAACTTTATCCAGGTCCGAGTATTTCGACCAAAAGGGGTGTAACTTTTACCACCCAGAGAGAAAGCTAGAGACACTCCGGTTCCCCACGCCCCCGGCTAAGTTGGACGTCACGGCGATTGGATACGATATTGGCAGTTGTCTCCAGAACGTGTACACCCCTGAGTGGCCTGCTCGAAGTGAGTGGTTCCAATTAGATAGAAAGAGCATTACGTATCCTGGTTCAGTTACAACACATCGTAGCATGAATTCTGAGACGTTCTAGAAAGTTCCCACAGTAGGTTGAGACGAAACAAAAGAAAATTATGGCAATGCTAACTGTGATATGACTGCGTTGAATGAAGGTTTTACAGTTTATTGACGCTGCGAGAACTGTGCCTACTGGTGAATAGGTGTTGAGCACAACCTCAAACTGTCGATCGCAATAAATTCTTATATCTGTCAACAGTGGTAACAATCAAACCACGCGTGTTATAAGGGGGTTACAATAGATGGGTTTTCTTCGTGAATTCCACCCACGTTCAAAATCAGCATAGACTAAAATTCAACCCAGGAAGCGCGCTTTAGCATACGACAGGACCCGTTCGTATATGCCAGGATACCCATAACGATACGCCAGGAAAGCTGTCACCAAAAGGCCAAGGGCAGTGCGGCGCCATGGTCAGCCAGACCCGATTTTCTGATCCTGCAACGTCTCCCCTCTACGAAACTTACCCTTATTCGAAACAGCAACCATGCTCTTGTTCTTTACATCAAACGGCGGGTATCGGAACCCCATAAAACGATCAAGCCAAGTCGGCGGTTCAGCAACGACCCTTGGGTGCGTAAAAGCCTGGAATCCATACTTGCCATGGTAGGATCCCATGCCAGACTCGCCCACACCTCCAAAGGGTGCATTGGGGACGCCCGCGTGGAATAAGGTTTCGTTAATGGTGACGCCGCCTGAGATGGTGCGGTCCTGGATGTACTCGGTCTCTTTCTTGTCGGAGCTGAAGATGTACAGGGCTAGGGGCTTGGGGAGACTGTTTGTCATGGCGATGGCGTCGTCGGTGCTACATGCGATGACGGGGCATATGGGTCCGAAGAGCTCTTCGCTCATGATGGCATCTGTGGGCTTCACGCCGGTGATGATGACGGGTGCCATACGGCAGTCTCCCGGAGGAGCTTCACCGCAGCGAATGATGGTGCCTTGGGATTTGTCGAGGAGCGATGCCAATCGATCATAGTTTCTTTGGTTGATGATTCGACAGATGTGGCCTGTGTGAGCGAACTCTCGTGTCCAGTGCTCCAGCCGTGCAACAAAGGCGTCGTGCACGGCTGAGTCGACGAGAACGTGGTTGGCAGTGAGACAGATCTGGCCCGCGTTAGCGAACTTGACAAGAGCGATGCGTTTCACAGAAAGCTCGATATCTGCAGTCTTGGTGACGATTGCGGGACACTGGCCGCCCAGCTCCAGAGTTACTGGCGTCAGTTGCTTTGCTGCTGCAGCAGCGACAAAGCGAGCAATCTTCGTTGACCCCGTAAAGAAGATGTAGTCGAATTTGTGTTCCAAGAATCGCGTTGTTTCCTCTGGTCCTCCCGTCACCAGACGAATACACGACTGGTCCATGTACCGCGGTATCAAGAAGGTCATGGTCCTCTCTGACGCTGTCGCGAGCTCCGATGGCTTGATAACGACGCAGCAGCCCGCGGCGATAGCGGCAACGAGGGGCGAAAGCGTAAGGACGAAAGGAAAGTTCCAGGCGCCAATTACAAGTACGATGCCGCGTGGTTCTCTCCGGATACGCGCTCTACTAACAAACCCAAGTATCCCAGAACCAGGAACAGGCGTGGTTGCCGCCAATCTCTCCGCGTTATTGATGTGGTCGAGGATATCCATCTTGAGTCCCACAAAGTCGGTTGCCCAATTCTCCATTTCGTGTCGTCCAAGGTCGCTTGTCAGGGCTTCATGGATCTCGCGCTCGTTGTCTTCGATCATCCACCATAGTTGTTTCAGCTGCCATTTGCGCCATTGGATGGATTTAGTTTTACCCGAGGCGAAGCTGTCATTCAACTCGCGATGGATAGCAGTGAAATCCGATTCTGGTGTTGTGTGGCCATTTTGCGTGGCGATTTTGGGATTCGCCATGATTGTTTTCGACTCGATCTGTTTGCTGGTGAGCGATTTGGTTGCATGTGAGAAGAAGCTAGGGGCGTAGGGCACACGTATACATCGGTAGTGAGTGCAAGTGTTGGCGCAGCTGAGCAGAGATGAGTGCAACGGGCTTGGTATGAAATAGATAGTGTTGGCGCAGAAACATGTCAGAAAAAGATGATAGTGCCCACAGTGGCGTGAAGGCGGCATTGGGATGTATACAATCACCTCTACTACCATGAATATACTGCAAGAGGATAAGAAGTCGATCTTAAGTTCTCGCAGCGTCATCCGAACGAGCCTTGTTTCTCCAAGGTTCACAAATCATCACGCAGCAGACATGAGTATCTTCAACTTAATCGCTAGTTCTCCTTCAACTCTCGAAAAATATTGCTCGACACCCGATCTGGCAGACTATTGCGCTACCGAATCGGCCTCCATAGCCATCTACGAGGGTCTCCATGGCGATATTCAATACATCCACAAAGCACGCTCTGTCCGCGTCTCCTGCGTCTCTCCCAGCACCGTTGACACCAAAATGTTCGTGGGCATTAAGCTTGGCCTGAGTATGTTAGGACTCAGATTGCGGACATAATATTCGCAGGAAGAGCCAGGAACGTTTTCACCCCCGCTTTAGTAGGCTTCTTAGGGACTCTGCGTGCAATGTCCGACTGGTTTCGCGCGCTGCGACGCGAGCCATTGATATGGGCATGTTCGAACACCTAACGACCCATGACCTGATGAAGCATCAGTGAAGAAAGCCACAGTTAGATGTATACATGTAGTAATGGATAGAATATGAATGGAGCGACATCGGCCTTGTGAATCGAGTGTGTTGAGAGAGAGGATACTGAGAAGTTGCAATAGATTGTAAAGTAGCATCCGCGTCCATAATCAGATTAGCCTAGTCCTATACAAACGCTGAAGAATACTTCCAAAAAGAAGATGATCTCATTGTAGTAGCCACTGACCGTCATGAAATGCCTTCCTTTTCTCGCACAACAAACCAAAAAGTACGGCCTTTCTCTGTTGGGTTTAGGTCTGCAAGGACTTTGAAGTGTGATCATCTATTTCTTCTTTTTCTTCTTCAACAATCGCGATAACGTTCTATAATTTTAGGCGCTTCTGATTGGTAGAATACAAAGCAGGAGCGAGATGCTTCGATTCAAAAGTATAAAGTCGACTTCTAATCAGAGTACTGATCTTGTTAGACAGAACCGCGCAAATGTGTGCTGTACTTTCTACGCAATCGACCGAGATCGGAAACCAAATTTCAGATTGAGATGCGAACGTCATGATGGATCAATGTTACAATGAGTAAAATGTCGCAGAATCCGCTCGGGTGCACGGCAACAGCAGGCGACTCGATCGAGCTGATGGAAGCAGCGCAGGAGATGCCTGTCAGGGGCAGGGCGCTAAGTAGGCCTAGAAGACACTTGGACTCCTAAGATGCACCGCAGAAGAGCCTGCGCCTTAGTACTAACGCAAGAACAGGTTTGTTCCGTGTCAGAAAAACATGACTGGCGATGTTAACCAAAACCAGCCACAAGGAGCGACAGGGGCGTCTCTTAGATGCATAAGTAATATGATGTTCGCTCACCCCAAGACATCAGGTCTTCGCTCCACTTCGGCTTTACTCTCCGCCCTCACCTCTTCTCAGTCAGCAGCGGAAGCGTATACTATAAACCATCAAGCTGGTCAGGACTTTGCGTGCTATAATGCAGTTCTCTCGGTCTGCAGTAAGTGTAATAGGACAACGGTCGAGTCTGGAGGAAACCAGTGCACACATCACAGACGTGGGCCCAGCACGGCAACGCGTAAACCCGGGTTTCCGACAGCATTGGCGTGTCAGCACGTCACATAGGCGCCTGCGTAATCCTTGCACACCTACATGGCGGTGTTCCTTGGCCAAGTGGCAAAAAATCCATCCAATCTTCGTGCTTAAATACCCAACGAAACACTTAGCTAGTCTTGAGATGACGAATTGAGGGCCAAACTTGGAGTGCGTAATGTAATCTATCAGGTTTCATCAACAAGCTATTCCTCGATTGCTGGGATTCCTTCAATTGGGAAATACGCCCCTGCTCCCCGGTACTAAATAGATAGTGTGTCCTTGACTTAGCGTACTGTGATTGGTATACAACCTTCCTCGACTACCGGTGGCGGTGGACTAGACTCATAACAATACCGGGAACTTTAGTACCTACTACTCGCATCTGCAATGCCTCCCAGGACAACAAGGTCGAATGGCGTCGCGTCGAAGCGAGACGGCAACAACATCGAGACCAGCAACATTGAAACCAGTAGCGGAGAGACTAGCAAGAATGAGGGCCGCAGCAATCGTGGACGTGTTTCCAAAGAAACCAGCATGGCGAAAAAGAGGACGCAGAACCGAATCGCGCAACAATGTCTGAGAGAGAGAAGAGCCGCGAGCAACCGGCATGCCGACAGAATATTAGACACGATGCAGACTGTCACCGAGCCCGAACGGCTGACAATGCTGCTTGAAGCGCAAGCGAATCTCACTAGAGAAAACCAACGGATGGAAGATGCCCTCTTCCGCATGCGGAAAAAACTACTTAGCTTAAGTAACGCCGCTGCTACTGCTGCTAACGACCCTATTTTTGAGGAGCTTCTGGGGCGAAAGCTGTCGTCATCAAACAATTCCACTCCAGGGGAACAACAAGAGGATATGCCTACTACACCTACAGAGTCTCCGAAGCAAGATCAGATCTGTTTAGCATCACTGCCACAGGATGCACGAAGTGTAGATAATGGCGATATACAGGCGTTTCTCGAAGCACCGTCGGTCGCTGAAGAGCAGGGCGCTAGCCAACTGTTTACTTTTGATCAAGACTTCCAATGCCAGCAAGAATACGGCGTCCAGCTCCAAGAGGATACAGAATTCTTCAATGCATTGGCGGACAACCAGCAAACTTCTGCCTATAACTTCAGAACAACGCCTCTGCCGACCAGTCCCTCGCCCTGGGACATATGTTCTTTTGCGCCACCAGAAAATATCACCATCCGCCGTGCTACCGACTTCTCAACCAAAATGTCCCAAGCCGCGATGAACTGCAGAGCACGTATCCAAGATACGGTCATGGCAGCGCACCTTACCACTTCCCAGATCACACAGTTGGTTGCAGTCGCGACCGTAAACCTGCTTTCAACGTGTGCAGGAATGCAAGAATTTCTCTATGGAACTAATAGCGCTGTATACATGGAGAGAGTCGTCTACTGGCGGCTCGCAAAGACAGACCGCTCCTTGGTGCCGCAACCGTACCGGCCTACGCCGTTACAGAGCCATTTTCTTGAGAACGGTTTCTTTCCTATAATTGATTTCCAACCCTGGCCTGAGCTCCGCGACCAATGTCTAATCATTGGAGACAAGATCGACGCCAACGAGCTCTCCCGGGACATTGTGCTTAATCAGGTTATCGAGATTCCTGAACGCAATGTAGCGGTGCATATCTGGCAACAGTTCCAGCATCTGCACGGGGGTGCACAATTCAACTTGTCCACCGCTGAGCCTCAGGTACCGCGGTCGGCGAACGATGAGGGCTGGGTCTTTTTCGAGATCAACCGAGTAAATCGTGACTTTCCGTCCTGGGCCGCCGATCCTGTTGAGGAGGCCCTCTCGCGGCAACTGTTGCGGCGCATAGAAGAATTCTGTACCGGCAACGACCTCTCCTGGTTCCTCGGGGCCGTGCAAAACCAGCACCTCGGTGCGAGCACACATATCGAGTCGCCCTTGGTGGCCTTGGATTCCAGGTTCCGTCCGATCAAGACAGACATGGGCCAAAGATTGGCCGCGACAGGCAGGTGGAAGCTTAGCAAAGAATTCAAGGCAAAGTACCCGCAGTTGGATTGCTCTGCAGGTAAGCAAGCGTCGACTCCACCAGAAATGGACGCACTGCTAACTGATCTTGCTGTATAGTCTGTACATCTTACGATTCCGTGTCAGTCTTGGAATAGATTATGTTCCTTAGTTAGCATGAAATACTTGCTAAAGTAGCCAGTCTAGTATCTGCAATATGAACATAGAACACTACTTTGCCTTTAGAATGTGAATTATGCATAGGTTTTTATGGATATCCAAAGGACAGAGGTATATGGAGTACTTGCTTCTGACTGATGGATTTGTTCTAGAGTCTTATAACGGTTCGGGGAAACAATCTAATATAGATGTCAGACTTACGTGCTTGTTTCGGATATGACCACCAATCAGTGGTGTCGGAATTCTGGTCTCATGTTGCGTAATGCAACCAACCACCGGGCAAAGTCGAGTCGCTGAAACAAGATCCTCAACTATCGACGCGTATTTACCCGCTGGTGTGCACAGATCTGGTATAGCAGGTTTACCGACATTAACACGGAGAATAACTACGTATTCATTCGAGGATTTCCCCACACATGTTTAAACAATAGTGGGTCAGTTCATCTATTTGCGAGAAGCTTAGCCTGAAATTAAGCAATGTCGACAGGACTTGGGAAGCTTAATCTCTTGCAAACTAGCATCAGATCGAGACCAAATGCCCCTTGGTAGGCGGATTAAATCGCGCACCCTTGTTAGATACGGAATAGAATTGTTCCCTATCGCCAATGTGAGCTGACTCGCTTACCTGGAATTAATGAGATCGGACGCAATGCGGATTAAGCTTTAGCCAAGTAGAGGTGGTGAAGGTGGGGAGCCCGATGAGGATTTGATTAACCAGGGGATATCATTCAGATATAAAGAGTAGTATTAAAAGCTACAAGAGTATCTATCCTTGAGTCCAATTGACTACAGTTCATCGACTCTACCAATCGTTTCCGCAAAAAACTTCAGAACAAATTCATCATGGTCTCCTTTACTGCCGGTCTTGTCGCCTTCGCGACTATCATGGGCGTTATCGCCGCCCCTGTGGAAGGCCCCGCGGATGTCGCTATCTCAAAGCGCAGCAGCCCCAATAGCTCGGGTACCAACAATGGTTTCTACTACCAGTTTTGTGAGTAGCAGTACCGTTCAATGCTAGAGCAGTCTTACTAACCTGACGTATAGGGACTGATGGCCAGCGTGGCAGCGCGACCTACACAAACAAGGCGGCCGGCGGGTACTCTGTGCAGTGGACGGGCATCTCAGACATGACCTCTGGCAAGGGCTGGAAGACTGCGCAGCCCAGGAACATTACTTTCACTGGCAACGTCAAGGCACAAGGCAACTTCTATCTTGCCGTCTACACCTGGTCGCAGCACGGCGAAAATTACGTAAGTCATACATATTTCCACTGTGGCATTCACACTCGCCGAAGCTCTCTTGTCTAACACTTTTCATAGATTCTCGAGAACTACGGCACATACAACCCATGCAGCCAAGGCAAAGTAGTCGGCACCATCACCAGTGATGGTAGCCCTTACCAGATCTGCACGGTCGACCGTGGAAACAACTACATTCAGAACTGGTCGATCCGCCAGAACAAGCGCTCCAGCGGTACCGTCACTACCGCAAACCACTACAATGCGTATGCTGCGCACGGCTTGAACCACAACCCTCTCAGCGAAGCTGCCTACCAGATCGTATCGACTGAGGGATTCGGAAGCACTGGCTCGGCTGATATCACGGTGTCGTAGGTATTTTGCTGTTACTATATCGTTTCCACAATTCAGACTGTATATATCTTAACACGAAATTTTACTCTTATACTCATATTAAGGAATGAAGATTGCCATCCCTCGCCCCAGGAGTTTGACTCAAACTTGGATTATCGCGTATCGCTAGCCTGGTATATTCACTACCGTGTAGCTCTCAATGTATTCAAACTAGCGATCTATGACTCAAGGTTGCCATCCGGTATCCAGCCGAGCGAATCACGAAAGAAACGAGCTATGCCATAGTCAGGCGCTGGCATGGACATGTACAATAAGGAGCTTGTGCCTGGAAAGTCCAGATAGCTTGTTCCAGCGAGCGAAATGCCGCATTCGTCCATCTCATTCATCTAGAAACAGTCAACGCATTTGTCGCAACGTGAAAGATGAGAGGTAAATCTTGATCCAAAGGGTGAGCGGAAGGGCCTTCATCTTTTATAGAAAGAAGGAAACATACCATATTATTGGCCCTTGTAGCTGACAGCTGCTGAAAGTCAAATTGTGACATGAAATCAGGATGTTCAACCTCGAGCGAACTGTCGTCAAGTGGCTCTCGATGGACGCTGGGTCCATTAACTGAACTAGTATTGCTAGCGGTATTTGCCGGATCTCCAGTTAACGACTCGACGTAGAGGCGTGCGATGGAGGTAGTCCGCGACCCTAGCATCGTGAATGGTGCCTTGCACTAACAAGTCGAGTCTGGCATAGTGGGCAGCAACTATATTAAAGTATGACAGATTTCCCCTGGTCTCAGCATGTAGTGGGTTTTCAACGACGAAATCGAAGAGAATGAACATTGCAACCATTGGCATAACTCCTAGTATCCTATTCACGTTAGCAGCTTTTTTTGCACTTGAGTTTGCTATCTGGAAGAAATCTACCACACGGGAGTAAAGCGATCCCTGGCGATCATAAAGGTTGACTCAATAATCGCGTGTGCGGTTGTCAACAAGCATTTCTCGTTTTCGGATCACACTTCGGCTTGCGCCTTTATACTTCCTCAACGTTCTTTACGGTTCAGGAGTGATATGTGTCCTGTTTTCCTACGGAATACCTCTCGCCCTTCTATTGGCGCGGAGATGACAAAGTTTGCTACGACATTGCTATTTTAGCCTAGGAAAGTTCGGACCCTTGTTCAATGTCATGACGCTAATTTTGCTTTCGTTGTCCGCCATTGTGTTCTGCATCCCTCTTAGTTATCTTGTCACCGACGATGCCATGAACTGGGCACCTGTTGTAAGGGCAATCACTATCGCAATATCTCTCATCAACTGACTGGTTGAGAGGAACACGTATGAACTTCCTAGGGCTTCTATGTTCCATCGTGCACATGGCATTCATAACAAAGGCTCTTAGAATAGCTTCGCGACGTTGAACGACGTTCCAATGAGATTGTAGATGGATGAATGGTTTCAGTTATTGAGGTTGATTATTATGCCTGTAAATGATGGACGCGTACAGCGATGCTATACTTCAGATTGACGATATTAATTGTTGTTATTTGCAAAAGAAAAAGTGTTGTTTTAGTCATCGTCTGCCAAGTGGGTTTTGCGATCAAAGTTCATTATTGCCCTTGCAGTTGCTGCATAGTTCCATTCGAAACAACGCGTGTCTTAATATTGAAATAGCCCGCATCACTACCTTCTAAAGAATCATTTTGTCACTTTCTTGTGGCTGAAATAGAAAAGACTAAACGCGTGCGGCATATTTACAGAGAGTACGCGGAGTAAAAGGAAAACTAAATCGTGTTTATTTATACAGGATGTGAAGGCAGATAGGCTTACAACTTGAAGTTCTCGCCAAAAGTCTTGTACGCAGTAAGGAGTTTTCGCATCTGTGCGTATTATGACGCTATTGGAGGCCTGTGCGCGTTTTGAAGCTCTAGCTATCGGGCCTTTACAGGTTGCAACTTCTCTTTTCAGCTCTAGGCATCATGCTTGAATTTAAGCGCATTGAAAGCGGAATGTTTGGAAAAGATCTTAAGCGTAGGTAAACATAATGATGATATAAGCAACAGGGCCAGCATAGCTTTCATGTACTCACAACATTGAGTACTAGCTAAACGCAGACTACTCGATGTGAGATCTCCGCCTTTACACGTATTCGCTTATTGTATCAATTAGCTAGGCTATTGAGGATATTTGGATCTCTGGTACTATGCTTACGGTGATGTAGCTATGAGAGGACCTTGCTCGCTCGAGTAAGTAGACATCATCTCTCTTTCCGCACCTCTTGGCAGTTAATCATCGCCCCATAATCCCACAATTCTACACCAAACATGCACGCCACTATTCTTACCGCTCTTTTCACCATTACTATTCCCGTAGTAGTACTAGCGGTAGCCGAATGTAACCTAAACTTTGCAATGGAACCGGAGGCTGCATCCATGCTGGCTCCGCTACCGATGACCCTTTTCTCTGCCCTGACGGCAGTACCCTAACCACCCATGAGTTTGCGAATGGCGAGACGGGAAACGGCTTGGGAAATGGCGTTCCTGCTAGTAAAAAGGAATTCCTCAAGAAGTTCCTGAACAGCAATGTCCCCAGTCTAGGAGCTGAACTCGTCGTGAGTAGTGTTTTCCAATGTCATAGAAATGTAACCTATGCTGACCACAATTAGAAAATTTAATCAAGGCACAACCAAAACATCTACTCTGATGTAGTTACCACATGTGGAAATACAAAGCCAGAGAAGTTCAACTGCTACATTAGCGATCCTAACCCATCCATGTAAGTTTATAGCAAGGATTACGAGGGGAAATTTGCTTTCTATCTCTTATGAAGTCACACTTTTTGCGCTTTGTACGATCTAAGCGGTAGAAAGTGCGAGATTCATTTCTTAGTTAGGCCACCGATCGGACGCCAAACCTTTACATACTTAGGGGGAAGACTGTAAGGGTTAGGATGCTCCACTGCCAACTACTGGTGTAAAACGTGGAGGCTTGGTCTCTGTAAGTGGCCCGCTTAGTAGAGTGATATTTCTAGTATGTAAGTGATTGTGTTGCTTCGAAGCTATACGACTTCGCTGTTTACCATGATATGTAATGTTTGCTTACTATTGTTTTTAAGTGCCTCCTTTATCTCAACGAATAACTGCTTAGTGTACCTTTGCTTACTTAACTCTAAACGAAGCAGATACAAAAATTGCAAGATCATCTTTGTAATATCATGAAAAGAATTTTGGCGCGGGGTGTTGGTCTTGATCCTTGAGAGTAATCACGATTAGGTTGTTTTCCCATCAATCACAACCGATTGTAACAGCCGGGTATCATACTCAAGTGTCGTGACTATTTACAAGGGCTACATATAAGCCGCGGAGAAGCATATATACAGTGAAGATGGTATAGCCCAATGACAGTAGAAGTGCATTCAGTGCCAAGGGCCTGATTCTACTACATCAAAACAAGCGGTAAATTTCCGCCATGGTCGGAAGTTGGCGGAATTGCGTAAGCACCGCGAACTTAGCTGAAACTAGACTACTGTGTTGACTAGCGGCGGACGCTATGCAGAGCGAAGGACGGAGCAACTCATTAAAAAGGCCGAGCCATGCTTATGGATATGCTCTATACTGTATACGGTAACCAGCATGTCCGATCAAACTTGACCAGCTGGGGGGAGCCTGTTTGTAGCAGGGAAACCTGCACGAGCAATATGCTGATGCGGCTGAAATTTCCATGGTACGATAGTCGCATCTGAATAAAATAAATTCCGCATCATTCCACTGCATTCCGCTGTTTTGATGTTCGGGTATAAGTAGGTGTATGGGAACTGCATTTCGGACGGTCCTTCATATTGAAAATCCCCCCACGACCCCCAACGATCCCCCGCAAATCCTTTTAGATTCCCCACAATCCTTCACGACTCCACTACAAAGCGGGGACAGTAAGGGGGAAAAGACGACGAGCAAGAGCAGGAAAAGCAAGAAAGAAGAAAAGCAAAATGGAGATCATCATTGTAGGAGCTGGCCTTGCGGGACTCTCCACCGCACTAGCCCTCTCGCACTCGCTCTCGGGCACTAAATCTAAACACCGTATCCTCCTTCTTGAATCCGCACCTCAGCTGGCTGAGATCGGAGCGGGCGTGCAGCTCACGCCAGTGGCCACGCGCTTCTTCCTGCGGTGCGGGCTAGGCCCATCGCTGCTTGCTGCCTCAGCGGTGCCGTCATCATGGCACCTGAGGCGTGGAAGTGACGGCGAGGTACTAAACCGGGTGCCAATGGACCGATTTACGGAGTGGTACGGGGGGCCATATATAGTTGTGCACCGGGCAGACCTGCATCGAATCCTGTGGGAGGAATTGGTCGCGAGGCGAGAGAAGGAGACAGCAGTCGACGTGCAGATGAGACTGGGGACGCGGGTGGTTGAGTACGGAGTGGAGGAGGGATGGGTGCAGGTGCAGGGCGGGGAGAGGCTCAAGGCAGATCTGGTGATAGCGTGCGATGGGATCAACAGCTCTGCGAGAGGCCAGCTGATGCGGAGCCTTGGAGTACCGCAACAGGAGTGGGTGGCGGGCTCAGGCATGGCCGCCTACCGGGTTATGGCTGATGTGACGAAGGTGCGGGCCGACCCGCTCACTAGGGAGATTGTCGAGGAGCATGCGGGAAATTGCTGGTGCGTTCAAAAAGACAAAAAAGATGGCTGACCCTCTGAACGTTCGCTGACCATTTCTTAGGGCTGATACCAACAAGCTCGTCATGACATACATGGTCCGCGATTCTGACAAGCTCAACTTGGTGCTCTCTCACCCGGACACAGACGACACCAGCTCCTGGACCCAGGAACAGTACAAGGCCGAACTAACCCGCTTCTACGGAGACATGGACCCGCGTGTAAAGCGCCTGATTGAACTGGCCTCAGGCCCTGTCACCAACTGGCCCGTTCACCAAGTGCTGCCTCTCCCCAGCTGGACATCATGGGCCAAGAACTTCGTGCTCATTGGTGATGCCGCCCACGCAATGTCCTTCTACCTGTCCATGGGCGTCTCGCTCGCCATTGAAGACGGTTTAGTTCTCGCCACCGCCTTGGCCTACCACGTCTCACGCCCAGAGACCTTCTCGCTGGCTTCGGCTGTTACTCTGTTTGAAACTGTGCGCAAGCCGCGTGCGGAGAAGATCAGTGCAGCGAGCCAGCACGCGGGAGACCTGCTGCACCTGGGGCCTGGACCGCAAAGAGATATGCGGGATAGGGCAGCAAGGAGGGATGGGGCCGAGGGCGAGGAGGAGACGAAGGGTGATCCGCTGCTTGATTGGACAAGTTATGGGATTACAGACAAGAAGATTAGGCAGTGGGTCTATGGGCATGATGTACTGCAGGAGGTAGAGAGTAAAAAGCAACAGATGAGTAGGTTGTAATGAGCTAGACATATATTGTATAGTATTTAATGATGCGTCATGAACATCCCTTATCATACTAGACGGCGCTGTTCGCCCTTGAATATCAAGCATTCAACATCTTCCTCTAAACATCGTACTACTAGAACCATACTCTTTTACCGTGTTTACATAGCTGAGGCTTTCTCTGGGCCGTAGCAATTCCGCTACTGCAAGCGCACACTCAATATCAGCTATGTTTGTGAACTTATATGTAGTACATTGAAGTCAAAGTCTAGTCCTGTTGAAATGGTCATGAATATCGGGCCGTCACGCACAATATATAAAATTTACAAAAGAAGTGAAGTCCTGAAAGGCTCACAAGAGACTGCCCTAGCTCTTAACAAGACACAGCTCCTCCAACCACTTACTAATCCCTACACTAGGTACATCGACAAACCTCCAAAAAACATCTGCCGCCCAAATCGTCACAATCGTCTGAATGACCCATGAAAGGAAAAGACCCAGTTCATACCGGTAGACAGTATCATTTCCAGTAAACGACCACAAGAACAACATGCTCCTGTACCCGAAGCTATTAATCATAGCCTGATGCACGCAGTACAGCGCAAACGAGATTTTACCGAGATACTTGGCAACATGGGTCGCAAACATGCTCTGTAAGAAGGGCGACCGAGACACCACGTAAACTAATATCACAGTCCCCATAGTAATGAAGAGATTGGGGCAACGGATTGATGGGCCAAACAGCGTGCTTGCGATGTAGTGGAGCGGCGCAGAAAAGAGTGCCTTCTCACCCTCGGCAGCAGGATAAGACGCAACAAACAGTCCAAACCCGAACAGCAAACTCGATTGTATCTTTTGCTTGCGGGACTCTGTACTTCGACTCGGCGCTGAAACAGCAAGCTCTTGGCGTATAAGATACAATTCCGCCAGCGTAGTGCCCGCAAGGAAGAGCGTAGCCTCTGGATGATTCTGGAATAAGAAGTACACCCCGATTACTGTGGTAATGCTCATCCGTACGGCTGGCCGCACCTTCGCGAAGCTAATGAGCGCGAGGAAACTGATGAAGGAACAGCTGAGCTCAATGGGTATGGTCCAGAGTTGCACGCCGTAAGGCGGGTGTCGCGTCCGTCGCGCAAGCGGATCGGACCACGTCCACACCTGACCCGCCCAGTCGGCGAACTGCTTCGAGAGCGAGTGGTGCGCGATTGGTATCCGTAGTGGTTTGCTGAGAAACGGCCAGTTCTTTGTTAGAGCGTATGAGAAGTCGAAGGCGCCGCAACATGCAACTATTAATGTAATTGCTAGTGTGGCTAAACATGGTAGGTAGAGTCTGCAGGGTCGACGGAATATCGCAGATACCATGGTGTCGAGGAAAGCACTGTAGGATCCATTGCGGATAAGTTTTAGTGGCTTCAAGGAGATAGAAAAGCCGGAGATGACGAAAAAGAGGGAGACGCTGACATGGCCGCTGTAGATTAGCCGGATGATAGGTAATTGAGTGAACCAGTGGTCTTCATCGCTGTTGTAGCCCTTGAAACCGCGGGTCGCCTGAGGATGGGTCGGCATGAAGAAATGGCAGCAGTAGACGATGAAAGCTGCGTAGCCGCGCATGCCGTCGAGGAAATCAGTCGGACGTATCTCATCTCGTGCAGCTGTGGAGTTGTGAAGAAGAAAACTCGGTAGTAAGTTTCGCAAAATGCGGCGATGTATGGATCGGTATCTTGCCGAGACGCCGAGGATTGAGGGAGATGGGAGACCCTTCTCCGTCTCCCCCAGTGTAGTTTCCGCAAGGTTTAGCATCTTATGTGTCGCATGGCGAGATGGGCGTTTCCATTGGTATGTAGTATATAGTCTACATCTTGAAAAGGGGGTTGAAAAGCGAACTGTGCAAATATATTGATTACAGGGGCCGTGGCTGATCGCGACTTCCGCGGTCACAAAAGTAAGGAGGTCAAGCGAGGGTGACTGTGGCGTTGGGTAGTGCATGCGAGATGTAAAATTGAACGGGAGTGATTGTGGCGTTTGTTAGCGTCCTGGCAGTGGCCTGGAGGCGGGCTTGATTAGGAGTAGTTCATGAGAAAGCCCAAGTCATAGCGTAGGCTAAGAAGAGCATTAGACTCCGTTGGCCAGACCGACTAGTGCCGGAAAACGTTCACATGTCGCGTGCCGTATATCTCGGTCAAGTGTCAAGGTTCGCTCTCCTCCGAGCCGATGCGTAGTGACCGTGTATGTTCTGACTAGTTCAATGACTCGGTGTGACAGCCGAAAAAGTTCGGATACGGTTCGCTTCACTGTTATTCACCTTGAAATACATAAAATAGAATAGGAAACAGTCGCAGCATGAACTTAGCTGCTAGTGGTGCACGTGATACAAGGAGAAGCTGTAGCGTCGACCAATAACAAGACAGGATCAGAATGAATTAACAGCCGATGATTCACTGTGTCTAAAGTCCAATACAGACGGAACATCCAAGTTGATCAGATACAGGCACGTCGTTAGCATCAATATTAATTGCAGGTTCACCAATGACGAAGTTTATCAGTTATGATTTTGAATTGATAGCTGAAATATATATAAGACATATTAACGTCATAGTCGCGCAAGCTTCTAGAAAGACAGTGCGGCTAAAGAACAAAGAACAAGAATAAAAGCAGCTTCTCCACCAGCCCGCCGTAACTAATCGATACCGACGAGGCACACTTTCCATACACGCAAAGGGATAAACTTAAACGAGGATGGCGAACTTAGCATGCGCATTAGCAGGAGCAGGCGCCGCCTTACGACGCTGAAGAACACCACCGCGCTTGACATAACCAGCAGATGCATGTCCGTAACTCTCGATTGGCTCATCGTAATCCGACGACGGGTCAGCAGCATAAGGGGTGGTGCTGGTAGCTTCTCCAGTGCTGTAGCTGGGAGCTGAACTGTAAACGGGGGCCGAGCTGTAGGCGGAAGCAGAGGTAGCAGCAGGGTAAGTGGAAGTCTGCTCAAAGCTGCAGGTATACGGCTGATGAGCCTCAGTGACAGTAACTGTCTCAGCAGGGTGGTGGTAGACACCGGCCTCGTACTGCGTAATGGAGGGGTATATAACCGTGGTGTCGTGGTCGTAGACGGTCGTGGTAGGCTTGACGATAGTATATGTTCCGGCAGTAGAGCATGTAACAGTTGTGCTGTGGGTGATGGTGTTGGTCATGGTGCCTTCAGTCTCGTATCCAATGTACACAGCAGCGATGGTGGTTGGCTTGGTGACTTCGGCGATCTGGCCGCCGTAGGTGACGGGTTTGTTAGCCACGGCGTGGTATGTCTGCTCGGCGGTGACAATGGTAGGGGTCGCGACAGTCATGTCGTTGGCAGGCACGGTGTAGACGCCAGGGGCATCGAAGGTGGTCACTTGTGGTTTGGGTGCGCCGTAGGTAAAGGTATGCATATAAGTGCTCCACTTTCCACCAGAGTACTTCTTGATGGTCACACCCTGCTCATCCTTGTTGCCCGTGTACTTCGGATTTCCGGGATATCTAGGGAGTGCATGTGGTCCGATATGGTCGTAGGGCATCTCGTGAATTTCCTCACAGAGCTCATACCATGTCTTGTTAGTGTGGGATTCACCCGATCCTCTGTAATAACCAGTTGGGTGAGCATAGCCTTCAGGCGTAGCAGTGACAGTGTGAGTGATGGTTTTCTTCGTTGCGTACACGGTTACGTCCTGATTGGTTGCAGTAACGGTGACCTCCTTGCCATAGCCATCAGTGATCACAGTTGAGACAGCCTCATACTCCGACCATTCGCCGTTGACATAGGTCGGGACTGGCTGATACTGGGCTGTAACGGTGACTGGTTCTTTGCCGTGCCCAGGATAGACAGTGGTATAGCCGAGCTTGGATGAGGTCGACTGAACGCCATAGCCATAGTCGGCTGCAACAGCTGTGGCAAGAGAGAGAATAGAGACGGACCTCATTTTCGATGGTGATGATTAAAGAATGATCAAGGTTGGATATTAAACAATAAAATAATAAGCTGCTCAAAGAACTTGAAGTACTGAGCAGGTTGCAAAATAAATTGCAAGAAACTGACGATGAAAGAGTGACTGTGGGTGGGAATAGAAGATTCTATCGTGGGCAGGACAGCATATATTGTATGTATACGGTGAATGGACCACATCCTCCGCGGAGTGCGGCCCTTGCAAAGCTTGGCTACCATACCATAACGATAGATCTTCCGCTCTCTCGGAACGACATGTTGCCGTTAGCAGCTACAGGAGTATCACACTTAGTCACTCTGCACCTTGGCGCACAACCGGAGCGCCAAGAATGGTGGAGATTAACTACCGAAGATCAGTGCCTTGTCTCGTGACTCATTTCCTTTTCGAGCTGCAGGTCGATAGCGGAGAAGCTATATGTGAACTGAAAGATGCACTGAACTTAAGTTGGTCTTTTCTGGCCTACAGGGGCAAACAGTTTTCAGGCGGATTGCTTCTTGGCAACTGCAGTGGGCGGAATCGTCGGATGACTATAGTTCGTCACTTACCCGTAGGTAGCCTGAGAGCTCTGCGGCCAGACTTTGGTGAGTAGCGCCACGGCTGTACTGACAGGTTCCAGGAGGCACTGGTTCAGGGGGGCCAAAGTCAACCCGCTCAGGGGAACAGCGCCTCTATTGCAATTTATGTACTCAAATACTACTCATTAACTATCATATGATTGTTCAACAAACGGCAGATTGTGGGTATCACATTGTGGGAAAGCAAGGAAATCTATTGTTGCGCTATTTTGGCATTGTATAGAAGGAAAAAAGAGGTATACCGGCTAGATCTCATAGCTAGAGATGTCTGGTAGTATGCCATTGAAAAATTCGCTCATGACTTTCCTCAGCTGTTCCAACTCCTGCTTGTTGGAGGTGACTACATCATCGTTCAAACAGATTTGGCCAGCCTTCTTGCTTTGTTTAAGATATGGCCTCAGCAAAACATGCTCAGCTTGCTCCGCATCTGTGATCATGTAGAACATAGCATCTGGATTGACAATCGTGTATTGGAATTTGATTAGTGCTTTGATCACTGTCTCCCGCTGTTTGGCCTTCTGAGCAGGATGAGGCAGAAGAGGCTCCAGTCCAGCTCGTTGCCGGTTGAGAACCAGTTTGACCAAGCAATCGCCACAGCGTGGTGACTCACGTGTGACCCGATCAAAGATTGTTGCCGTAGAAAATACGGGACTGCGTGCTTCAGCATCGCTGGATGATATAGAAAATCCCGGTGCCAAGCAATCTTCCATATCGAATGCATCGCAGTCCAGATCCTTGGTCATGATTGGTCCGTCCAGAGATGTCCAGAGGATATCGTTGTTTACAACTGGGGGTTTGAGTCCAGCTTGTTCGAGATAGTCCTGGACGTGGTAGTAAATACGGCGTCGATATATCTCTGGGGTTTCATTGCTCAAACCCTCTGCTAGATCATTGATGACATTCTGGCGTTCATCCCAGTCCAAGTAGCCATCATTGTTGGTGTCGCTTCGCATCATAATGTAGCTCCAAAGCAGTGCCTCTCGGTGTCTTTCCATTGTGTAATGGAAGATGATATACCACGAGTAGAGCTGAAAACCATTCTCGCCTCGAAACCGCTGATATGCACTTCTCAAAGCTGGCCTAGGAAAGCTAGTGATTGCTTCTCTCGCGATGCTCCGAGATAAAGAGTGACCAAAGTGCACTTGACCCTTACGCTTGCGGGCACCAAACCGTCGGTTCAGAAGCCAAGACGTGTAGATTAGGAAGGGTTTCTCTCCGAAGCGCTCGGCGTCTTTCTCTGTAGGAGGCTGTAACGTGTTGTATGCATTGGTCTTGAAACCAAGAGTAGGACCGAATAGTGGCGAATATATATCGGACGCTGAATGGGGCTTGCCCAAAATCATGTCATCGGAGAGAGCAAACAGCTATATGGTATTAACACACTGCTAAGTGCTAAGACGAGGGGCATTTGAGACTCACTCTATCCACTTCGGACTTGGTGTTGTAGAGTTGGTTCTCAATAGTGAGAGAATCAAAACTCGGCAAACATTTGCGTTCCTCGGGTCCAAAGAACTCTTCCTGACTGAGGACCTGAACCTTTTCCATATCAGACCTCAACCAGTGAGGCCATTGCTTACCATACGTAGTTGGTGATGAATCATCCTTCTTGGCATTCTTGAAAGCGTTGACGAGGATCTGGATTCGGTTCGTGAAATGACCGGCATATTTCTCAACACTGCGCATGGAATAACGGAGCTCGTCCCACTCGCGATATCTGTTGGAGCCATGCGATTCAATCCAGACTCCATCTGCGTCGTTTAGTGAGGAGTTTAGTTCATAAGGCTTCATAGTATCAGCCAACTCTTGCTGCGATCCATTCACCCCTGCAAATTTGATTAGCAAGTGAGACGTTATGCTTATCGTACTAATACTCACAAGTGTATACAAAATCAATCCTAGGCTCGTCAAGCTTCGGGCCTGAGTAACGCGCCTTCGAGATCCATTCATCCTCCCAACCTTGGAGGACCACATCCTTTACAGAGACTTCAAATGGGACATGATAGAGGTCTGGAAGTCCTTCAGCCTTTTCTTTAAGTTCTTCGCATTGATCCCAGCTAGGAAAGTCGTAATGCTCTGACCATGGTGTCTGGGTTTCCAAAGTTTCAAGGGGTGGCTGATTCTTATTGATATTCTGAGGTTGAGCTAGATCCTCGGCATCGTCCTTGACCTTTGTGTCCATAATCGGAATTTGAGCATTTTCGTTGGATACGATATCTCCAGACTCGGATTCAGTAGCATCGTCATCATCAGGGTGTTTCAATTTTGAAGCATGCTCTACACCACCTTGGTTCCGGTGCTCTTCGATTTTCTCGATATCGTCTAGATCGTGAGTTTCGGCGTCCTCATCAGTGGTCAGCGCAGAGCCGCTTCCTCCTAAGGGCCCAGCATCGTGGCTATGAATGTTACGAGGTCGAGTATCAGGACGGGGTGAAAGAGCGAGGTGAGGAACTTCAGCATTCAAGATCCGCTCTGGGTTAGGGTGCGAATGGCGGACGTTGATCCGCCCAGCGCGAGGCGACTCTGCTTCGATTATCGCTTCAACAGTTTCCGGTAACGGATTTGAAGTGAGAGGCTTCAAGCCGGCTTCTGAATTCGCCCACTTACTCCAAGTGACTGTGCCAGAATTCCAGAAACAAAAAACAAAGAAGATGATCAAGGCCCAAATATACCGGCGGAATGAACGGCGTGACCTGTAAAGCACATTGCTCCGGCCAATCATGACGCGCTTAATAACTAAAAGGAGCAACTCAACGCGACAGACATAAAGAGGGTGATAGAATAGAAAAAGTTCACAAAGGGCCAGACAAGCACGAACTGCGATACCATTCAGCGTTTGTGTAAGGAAGAAATATAGTATTCTGTGATGCACTCGTCACATTGTTCGTTTACTATGTGCCGCGGGGCTCTCGCAGTAGACCGAAACCGCCGGCACCCCTAAATCACGGTGCATTTCGAAGCGGAAGTTCCACCTTTAGTGTTTTTCTTCTGGGCTAAGCGGATCTCGTGTTCAGCTCTGAGCACTATAGTACAATGGACTAGGATGCGAGACCGATGCGATGTGATGCTAGTTAGCGCATACTAATTTCCACAGGGGCACGTCGGGATCTACCGATCGCCACCACCAAACGACCCCGACGGGTGTAGTATGATCTCCCGTGCGTCCCCACAAGCCATCGTCTAGGCACAGCCATCGGTACTAACACAGCGTATGCCCAATGTTCCGCGGCTGGGCCGTTCGAAATTTGTTTCCAAGACGGCTTGTTTGTCAGTGCTCTAGATAGTGGGTTATTTAACATGTACCTCACTCAAAACGTTGCCACGCTTGCAACACCGTCTCTCAGCGGCTGTCAATGTCCCCACGGCAATTCCCGAAAACTTGTGCGTTTGCATTCCGTGGAACCTATCGGGGTATTTTCCGTGATACATCCAGCAAGTAGCATTTTTGTGCACCTTGAGGGCCATCATCGATCGGTATTCTGAGTTGTCACATTCTGCCCTCTCCTTTGGCACCACTCTTTTTCTTGACTTTGTTACTCTGGCCACAGCCTGAACCGTGATCGATACGGGATGTCCGGGCCAGCTTCCCCTGCTTCGAGGCGACAACGAATGCCAAACCTTACGAGATTTTCTAAATATGCATTGGTTGTACTTGTCGTACTTCTGACAGTAGCACTATGGAGGCCATCCGAACCGCCGCCAACGATATCAGAATATATATCCCACAGTGAGGACGATATTAAAGTGCAAGGGAAATTGCATCATTCAGAACATCATAACAGCGCAGAGGACAAAGAAGGTGAAGGCAATGGATCGACACAACTCGCCGCCGGTCTAGATTCCAAAGATGGACCAAGCTCATCCGAGTCGCTCGCAGCACCGAATACCAAGCTTCCATCTTCAAGCTCACCCTCATTTCCCAAATTCGGTAAAATCACTGCAACATTTGGAGAGCCAGATCCACCATATGAAAACGCCATAGCATCACACAAACTCCACAATGAAATCCATGGATACCCGCACTTCATTCTGCGCGAGAAAATGCTCCGGGGTCTATGGTCCAAGCACGCCTACATCATGACTATCATCGGAAACGAACTTGCAAAGCCAAAAGACGAGCGATTAGCCTGGGTCTTATGGCATGATCGCGACACAGTGTTGATGAACCCGCAACTTCCTTTGAATATTTTCGTTCCTCCTTCACCGGCATTCGATCACATCCACATGCTCGTTACGAATGACAGGAATGGCCTTAATAACGGGGTATTCCTGTGCCGGGTATCGGCTGCGAGCTTCAAGTTCTTTGCAAGTGCATTGAGTATCAGAGAGTACCAGCCTGAGATACAGTTGAAGTATACTGAGCAATCAGGCATGGAAGAAGTTATTAAACGTGTACGTTGATCATATCTCAATTCGTCGTCTTTGGTTGTGCTAAGGAAATCACAGGAGAACTGGAATAATATTATAGCATACGTCCCTCAGCGCTGGTTCAACGGCTTCCCGCCCACCAAGAAGGATCTAGCAGCGGGCAAGCCATCGGCATCCCGTCCGGGATCCCTACTAATTCACTTTGCCTCTAATCGTGATGGGAAGAGGCCAGAACGAATGGCTCATTGGAGTGCGATTGCAAAGAAAAGAACAGCGGCATGGGACAAGCCTGTTGAGAAGACAGGGTACATCAAGGAAATTACTGAGTACTGGGATAGATTAGGGAAAGGCGAGAGTCAGCAGAATATCATTGAAGATATTGAAGGTCGTGTTTGGAATTTATGAAGAATAAAGTCCATTAGTGATTTGTTTTTTGCGACAACACTTCCACTTTTAGCTCATTACCTACCAATATCATACTAATCTTGCAACCTTCCGATATGAGAGAAATAGTACGCTCAAGATTCGATTAGGCGAGGATGAAGTATTAGCAGTGATGTTCTCGCACCAATATAATTCAACGTATTAATTGCTTGCTTTGCTATATCTCCAATTCAGGTGACCGATTGTGTCGCAAATTCTTCCGGCTCCACAGTAACCACCTCACCCACCGGGAATTCAAATGTGCTTACATCCATCTCCGCCATCAAGTCATGAGCAGGATCAACAGCCTGAAACTTAGTCTCCTGTTGCAGCAACCCTCTCAAATTCAAACTCACTGGAAACACCGTAAACTTACTCTCCCCTTTCTTTCGCATAAGCTTGCTTCTTTGCCCACTATAACCAGACTCCTTCTTGCTATCCTCAACTTTGCGATCAGAGTCCCTATCTAAAGCTCCAATGGCACGATACAGTCCGAATATCATGGGGTATGCTCCCAGGCAAAAAGGTTCGGGCCAGTTACCATCATGACGGCATAGTTCTTGTATGGCTACATCAATAGACTGAGCGTTTGGTAGCAGTGACTGGTCATATAACAGCCTAGCCGCCCCACGGAGGGATAATGCGTAGGCGCCCGTGCCGGTCAGCTTGTTAACCTCCATGATAACTCGTGTGTGGTTCCCCTTTAACTTTTCCGCGCTCAGATCCGGCTTACGACGAATGATACGCCGTGATTCTGGTATTACCGTCGGATCATTATGGGTAACGTAGTACTTTCCCGACTTATGTGGTTTGTTGTTCACTCCGAGATGGCCGAGGGTGAGCAAATTCCACGAGTCCCCGTAAGGGGAGTGTAGGGGCAAGGTGCTATTCTGAATGGCCCGGACGCCACGGGAGAAGGACAGCATCTGTAATTTCAGCAATACGTCCCAGTCTGCATCATCTTCAATGATGAGAGCCGATTGAATTTGGTTCTGCACCATTCTGTAGATTGTGAGACATATGTACGTGGAGTAGAGGGCTGCATTTACTTTTGATAGACGTTCAAATGTGCGCGCCAACAACCGTACGCACCGAGGCCCTCTTCACCTCTCCAAAACTGAAAAGTGTTAGGCAAAAAACAAAAGGTTTATTGCAAGATCGCCATACAGCTGGGAATGCTTTGGGGTGCATCAACGATGCATTCACACCATCTACAAACTCAATTTCGAGATGCGATACCAAAGCCATGAGGGCAAGATAATCCCGTTTATCGGGACGATGTGCCATGGAAATTGCATAGATCTTTTGGAACTACACTTGATGTTAGACCGAGTCACGTTTACTCGCAGACATATTTCTTACACCCAAAGTGCTGTTTTGGGTATCCCAAATGGGATCATCAGCGGGCTCCACCCTGGATACCCTCAACTGAGCATTGTTGATGCCTGGCGGTGGAGCTCTTGATGTACCAAATCGCATCCGTGTCGAGCCTACTGTTTGCTCAAACGCGCCCGATCCAGTATTAAAAGAAATAAACAAAACAATCGAAGCAAGGACCATGAAAGACAGGGCAACAAGGTGAAAGATAGACTTTGGAAAGTACATCTTGAAAAGAGTGGCTATCGATCAAAATCGATGCTGCAGTTTCTCGGCTTGGTCCACGCAAAGGGTATACCATAGGAACTTCTAGATCTGCTTGAAGATAATAATGGGGCACGCGAGCAAGTTTGCTCGGCGGAGCCCCTTACCCATCTTACAGATATTGGTGGCTGGTAGTGAACTTTACTAGTTGTACATTAGCGCCAGGGGTTCCGCGGATCAGATCTTCGCCAATCTTCGCCTGTGCGCCGCTACTATGAACACTTAATTACCCCTACCTTTACAAAGGACGCGGATCTTACCCGTCAGGTAGGTTATAATTTAGGACCAATTTGTGAGTTGCCCATGTCGCTGAGCTAACAGAATTAGAAATTACGGGAGTATATATCTGTGGATGTACTTGGCGAGATAGTTCAGCCCCTTGACATCTATCATGTATGTTGATAGCACTGTGTGAGCAGGATATAAGATGACTGGTGTCGGGTGTAAGAGTTGGTTTTTGTAGATATGAGAGTTGGGGGCTTATTGCCTTTTACTATCCGCATGCCCGTCGTGTAGTAGTGCAAAATAAGGTCTTGCCTTCAGTGTCCAGTTGATGAAAAAGGCTGATATCAAAGGCATCATCAAAATATTGGTATCGGCTATCGGCGCAAACGCCTAATTGTGCAGTCCGATAGTCTTCGGTCGTGTCGGGATCGGTGACATACTCGTCTTTGAAATCTTGAAATCAAACGTTTGCTTGACGACATCACAAATGAGATTGTACTAAACCCGATTGCAGCATCTAGGGGTTTAATTGAGCAGTCTATCATGAATCGACTGAAGCGTATGCGGATTTCAAGGCCGACGCGAGAAAAATGCCATGGCTCTGAGCAGTGAACTTCTCGAGGAATATAATCCCTCGGCAGTTGATAAAGTTGATACAAGGTGGGTGGCCATGGTATTCGATGCCATAAATTTAAGACTCTACCAGACGTTTTTCAACTATAGAGAGCAGTCCTGATGCTATCGACGCATGAGCAGAGTGATGAGGAGAAATACGAGCTGAAGCTGAAGCTGAAGCTGAAGCTGAATCGTGGAGTCTTGGCAAAACAGGCAACCAGCACCAGCCCACTGCGCACCCGACAGGACGAATATCCTCAGTAAAACCGAGCAATCCATCTCCGACAAGGCGCGAGAGAGAAATGCTTCCTCAACAGGTCCGGCTTTGTCTTCAGGCGCTGCATATCAGCATCAATGAGTTTTCTACGTTCGTAGCTTCTCGCGGTCTCGACGATGACGTCGTTGCTGCCATCACAGAAGAAGGCGGCTCCCGCCTTCAGGATACCCTCGCTCAGCTTCGACAACTCTGTGAGCTTGCAGAAGAGTGTATGTGGCCCTTGAAAATTCATCGAATCTTTCTGCTAAATGAACTACCAGTAGCAAATGTTCTCCACGAAATGCGTAGTCCCATGCAGACAGCAGGAAGCTGCAACACTGTCACGTTGCATGAACCTTTGGACATGTCTCAACCCATACAAGAAGGCAGAAATCCATACCAAGCTTCTCCTTTCGAGTCTCGCTCTGTGGATCTCGAGCGCGATAAATCGTTTGAAAACCTACCTGTCTCTATCCTGACCCGTGATCTGCTGCGCAGAGGGGTACATCCTATTCAACTTCCGAGGGATCCAAGCCTCCCTCCGATCGGGCCGATTTACCTCAGTGATATTCCTGCTGGAAAACCAAATCCTGACTTGATCACCGCGCCTCCCAATTCCAATACCCCTAGAAGCGCGTCACTCAATTGCGTTGAGCCACTGGATCAGTTTGCACACTGTAAAATTTTAATAGCTGAGGATAATCTGATCAATCAGAGAGTCATGCTGAAGATCCTGGGGAAACTAGGAATGCATAATAATGTCGTAGTTCCAGATGGCCAGGCTGCGGTGGACAGTGTTCGAGAGTTAATGGGGATATACCACCCTTTCGACTTCATCTTCATGGATGAGTCGATGCCGGTCCTCAGCGGTCACGAAGCCACGCGTCAGATCCGCGAGATGGGGTTTCAAGGTCCAATATGCGCTATGATGGTCAATACGAGGTTAGCAAACAAGCAGAGAACTTGGGACTCAGGCGCTACTACGATTATCCAGAAGCCGTTCATGGTCAGTTCTGTTCGAAATGTCTTGGAGCAGTACTTGACGCCTCTTATCGAGGAGCCAATTGTTGACGAATCACCACTGCCACGGCGAAAACCAGATATCAAGTCGAAGCTTTAAGCCTATTGCTGGTTTTGCGCTGCAGCATGCATACCTTCTTTTCTTGTCCGCGCTTCGAAGAGTTACATGAACGAAACACTGCTATTACCAAACTTGAGCAAGTTAGTTTCATATTTCACTTCTTTTGAATGTTCCAATCCTAGGGTGAGATGAAGTTACCAGAGGTCTGCTGTGAAGGCGCCGCATCCCTATGATCCAATTACTAGCCTTCTTGATATTGTTTGGAGTGAAGGAGTTGTATTTAGCAAGTCTTATATCAGAACTATGTATCTATTGCAATTGAGATTATCTTTAGTACATTTTGCTATTCGTACTAAAACTGTTGCTTCACTCAAGCTCGACTCGTCTCGTGCATTCCCAGGAGTACGGAATACAACAGAGCTTGGTTGCATGCACATCGGGAAGATAAAAACTCCCTCGAGTAAGTTTTAGTAATTCAAACTCTTAAACAAAAGCCCCCAGATCAGCCATTGTAGCTATGGGTGGATGATATGGTTTGCATGATGTCTGCACGTCGTACAAGAACTTAAATGGTGTTAAGGTTTTGTCTGGAGCTGAATATGTCACTATTGCACTGACCGATGGGAAAATCCCGAGTTCAGATGTTGTGATTGGTGCTGGCGGTAGTACCTGTGTTTTACGAGACCATTTCTAATTACGAACAAGAGGCGATGCATTCACGACTGGAAATTCGTTGAGAAACAATACCACATTGTCACTTGCGATACCACATCCTCGTCACCCTCTGCTGCCTCATCTTCTTCTGCAATTGAAAAATCCCATAAAGCAGCGCCTCAGCAGTAGGCGGACAGCCAGGTATGTAAATATCCACAGGCAGAATACGATCGACACCGCGAAGGACGCTATAGCTGTAGTGATAGTAACCTCCGCCATTAGCACAGCTGCCCATGCTTATAACCCATTTGGGGTCTGGCATCTGGTCGTAGCAGAGCCGGACAGCAGAAGCCATCTTGTTGGTGACGGTACCGGCGACAATCATGATGTCGGCCTGGCGGGGGGAGGCACGGAAGATGATGCCCAGGCGGTCCTGGTCGTAGCGTGGCATGGAGCAGTGCATCATCTCGATGCCGCAACATGCTAGGGCGAAGGTGAGGGGCCAGACGGAGCCTTGTCGTGCCCAGTTGGCGATCTGGTCGAATGTCGTTCTTGGATGTGTGTTAGCCTCCTGGGCGATTAAGTTGAGCCAGGTGTGAGGATTGACTTACAAGACGTATTCGACTGCATTATTCGGCTCTGCTTGTGACGACAGAGGGGTATTTCTTGGGAGAAGACTCTTGGACCCGGCGTGTTTGGGGCTCTGGCTTTGATGACGCCTAGCATTGACCTGTGTAGCTAGCGGCAGTGATAGTACGGGTGGTGTTCTGGGAACTAAGCACAGGCGAGGAGCAGCAACTTGATGTCGGTCGTCAGCTAGATTAAGTCAAGTGGGGAGAGGAGTCGTACTGCTGAGCATGCGTGTAGTTGCCATTGCAGAGGATGAAGATATTGCAGAAGGAAAGGTAAGATGAAAGAGACTGCATGGAGAAGGGTAGTGGGTAATAGTTCAAGGTTAGTTGCAAGAACGAAGGCACAACAAGTGCTTTGCCACCTTGCAATCTGTGCCCGGTTCTCATTGTGAGGAGTGAAATTAGAAAGAAATCTTGCAAGGACAAGGGTACACATGCACGTGAGGCATTGGGAGAGAACATGGGCATATATCTGGTAATAGAAGAAAATCATAAATCAAATGTCCTAAAAGTGAGAACAGAAGATTTCCTAATAATTATAAAACTAAATAAGAAGCATAAAGGGGTGCATGGATGTTGCTGTGCGTCAGTGTCGCCTCTGGTGCTGAGTAGGATGAGGCTCAAGCGACTTAGAAAAAGTAGGAACTCGGAGGACCGATCATGGTTTTTTGGGTGGGCATCAGCCTGTACCTCAACATTTTGTTCAGCCCTATATGGCTGGATACGGTACGTTAAGCGGGGAGGACCCACCGCTGCAAAAGAGACCGTGCCATGCAGGGGCATGCAGAATCCGTCACTCTTGTAAAACGACACGCAGTGATTTGCTCATTGCTAGCGTCGCTGCCGGCTCTCCCTGTCATGACCGCTTTCACCCGCTATGCTCCATGCCTGTACTTGCGCCATTACGGCCGGTGAGTCTCTTTACTTGCATTCTCACCCCACCTATCACGCTTTTCCAAATCCACATGACTTGAAATCTTACTCAAGACAGAAAAGGCCGCCAAAATACGATTATCAGATCTAAAATGATGCTACATGTGCGCCTTCAACACACATATGATAACACATACATGTCTAATGAGCGCGACGCCAAGTTCCAGACGGCCCGCCCTGTAGTTATGAATCAATATCATTATTGCACACACCATATAGCAGACAGTTCACCTGGTGGAGACCTGCCCACCCACAGCACCTAGTACAGCGACATTGCACTGTCTCCACCCAGGCCCAGACGGTAGCCAGATACACATCCAATCATCTCTTCCTTGTTCTTTTCGACATGATTCAGTTCATATAAACATCTACTTACATACCATCAGAGCACTGCCAGTCGTCAGCCTACTTACACTGCACAAATCAAAATCAAGCAGCCACATGTGCCTCCGCGGAGCTTACCACCTGCTAAAACAGCCGGTAACCGGACAGCCCAGTTCAAGACTCCACTAGAGGTATAATATCACACCGGGAGTAGTCGTGAACCTCTGTAGTACATCCCCTCCGAAACTCTTAAAGGACGCCTTCCCCGTGGGAAAGATGGCTTTTTCCTATAACCAAGCAGTGGCTGACTAAATGACCTTTAATCGTCTTTCTTCAAATCGACTGATCGGGCTTGCTTGAGAAGCATTATCGATTATAAAACTCTTTTGCTATATACCGTTCGACAACGCCAACTAACAAAAGGCAAAGGGTATATACACCGAGAAGATTGACAAAGACACGATAATCAGTCTCTATTCGAAACATCAATAATCCACTGAACCGCATTCTTCGCTTCCTTCAATCCATACGGCATGGTGAGTACAAAACAATGCATCTGCTTCTCCCAATGAACCCACTCTCCCTTGACACCTACTTTCGCGCATTTCTCACGCAGTATGATACCATCGGGGCTCAAGACGTCGTGACCAGCAGTGATGCCATGGACCTTGATGTTCCTCTTAGCTAGTAACGAAATATCAGCGTTAATGGGAGAAATCCGGCGATCGGCAGCATCCCAGTCGCCGCGCCACGCTTTTGCCGTTTCTCGGATGGTCTTGGGCGTGAGAAGAGGGTCTTTGGGCGCGATCTTGTCGATGTCTGGGTTTTTGCGGGTGAGGTCGATTGAGGCGCACACGGTCATGATGGCAATGGGATGCGGATTCATTTCCTGGTGCTCGCTATCTTCTCTCAAGGCCTCAAGAACAAGGCATAGCGCAATGTTCGCACCGGAAGAGTCTCCCGCAAGAATGACCCTTTCTCCGGCTTTCTCGGCTTCGGCCATGAGAGCGCGATATGTTTTCAGGCACATGGGAAATGAACTCGGTGCAGGATTGTTGGGCGCAAGCGGAGTTGAGACAATGGAGATGGTTGTGTCGGTCATCTCTTTCGCCATCTTTGCGCATAGCTTGTAGTGTTGTGGTGAGGGCGGTTCCTGCCAACTACCTCCTGCAAAATAATACATTCGCTTTTTGGAGGGCTTTTCGGGTCTATTGGGAGGCAGTACGTCGTATATGTACGTGTCGCAAACGGTGCGTTCGCGGAGTGTGCATCCGCTCAGCTTCGACTTGGACGGGTTGAGCCGGATGGAACCATCCTCGTGCTTTGGCGTGCGATTCCCAAGCTGAGAACGCATCAGTCTGACCAGCGACTGGACGACGAACATGAGAAGAGTACGGTCATCGCGGAGGGAAACTTGGATGGATGAGCCTGGCTCTGTTTCCCCGGTAGTAAGTTCGTCGGATCCCATGGCGGTTATCTTTAGTATGTAGAGTGATTCGAGAAGAAGGTAAGAAGAAGCCCTGCGGCAGGGGATCAGAATGCAGGGTAAGCGACCGTTTGTATGCATCCATGCTGACCGTAAAGTGCAACCATCATCGATATGGGAATTTGCATTTCCCACTCGGCGAGCGACACGTTGATGGTAAAGAAAGGGATCAATGACGTTGTGGCGCAGCTTGTGAAGACCGATCTGAGAGCCCTAGACAGGCTCGGGAAGATCTGACATGTGTTGGTGATCTGCACCCAGCAAGACAGCAATGTGAATGTAAACTGATGAAGACAGCGCTACACATCTTAAGAAGAGCTGGTTCTAGAACTGCCCAGAGAGGGGGGCTAGTCTGGAAATTGTTGTCTGATAGTCGAGTCGAGATACGGGTGGGTTCTAGCTCATGACGTTACTCGACACCATAACGCCATGCCCACGCCAAGCCAAGAAGCACTCCCCAATTTTGCTCGACCTCTTGGACTATCAGTATCGTCAACTCCAACATCGCGGCGCGTCTTGCTGTGCACCACTGCTACATGACATGGAAGTACAGAACTTATTTTGTGTGCCAAAAATTCTCATTTCAATGGCCATTGTGGTACGCGTCCACGAGGGTGAATCTGAGCAGAGATGACGTAGCGTGCCTGGATTCCAAAGGACAACCCACACTACACATGTCGTTGAACCCTAAGCCAACCATCTTTCCTGCCAAACCTTATTCCTGTCTTATCGGCTTTTCTGCATGCAGTATCTCACCGACAGTATGTGGCTAGTGCACTGGCTAGAAGAGACTGATCAGTTACATCTGACGTGCGCAGACGTGGAAAACAGCCCACTCAAGCTGGGCAAATGTCTTGGTCTCGAGCGCTGAGTGGCGGTGCAATGGGCGGAAATTGCTGCCAGGACCGGATCCCGCTCGCTAAATGTGCTACTCCCATGCAGCTGAGCCGATTCCGTCTTGGGTGTCTTGTCGTTCTGGGCTTCCTTCGTTCCATTTCGTCTAACTGGCGATACTCCACCTCGTTAGCATGTTTAGCAGCATCGACGCCTTGGCCTACGTGGGTCGACCAAGACTTGCAAAACAATCCACCTTATCAGGGAAAAATGTTAAAGATGGCGAACACCAGACAATGCATATACCAATTGATTGACAAGTTCCAACTGCGAATCCATCAACTCACCTACCACGCGACGTCATCAGTCAATGGCTTCGCAAGCCTATCTCACGGACGAGGAAATTAAGAAATTCATTGACGATCTCGACCACGACAAGGATGGCAACATTAGCTACTGGGAACTGGAACGGAAGCTGGACCAGGTCCACAAGGAGATAGCCCCGAAAGCCCAACCGCATAACCTTCACCACAAATCTCGCGGCGATGAAGCTCGACACGAGTTCCTCAGACACGTCATCGGGACGCGCGAGGACCACATCGAACGCGACGACTTCGCAAGGACGGTGAAAACATGGGAAATTCCATCGCTTGAGGCCGATCGGAAAGAAGCAAAAGATGAAGACGACTACCTGAAGCACATCTCGCTATACCGGCGAGCTCGAGCCTACTGGGCTGTCAAAGGACCCGAGATCATTTTCCTAGCACTTGTCCTCCTGCTGATGATCGGCTTCGGAGTCTGGCAATTCGTCAAATATCTCACTTTCGACCAGTACACGCCTGCATTCGGATGGGGAGTTGTACTTTCAAAGACGTGCGCGGGCGTGCTATATCCGACCTTTTTCTTCCTCATTCTCTCCATGTCCAGGTGGCTGTCGACATTCCTCCGCCGCTTCTATTTCATCTCGAGATTCATCAATTGGGATCTGTCCCAGTCATTCCATATCAAAATATCTATCGTCGCGCTGGTCTTTGCGACTTTGCACGCAATCGGCCATCTTAGCGGTTCCTTCGTCTTTGGTAGTATGGCGATTCGACAAGACGCCGTTGCCAATGTCCTCGGGCCAGATGCCGTACCGCGCTCATACACCAGCTTTCTTCGCTCTCTGCCAGGGTGGACCGGTCTTACGTCTCTTGGACTGTTCTATCTCTTGGCGATAATGAGTATGCCGCAGATCCGGAAGTGGAGTTATGAGGTCTTTCAACTCGGCCATTTGCTCATGTTTCCCATTATTGGGTTCATGATGGCGCATGGTACTGCAGCCCTTTTGCAATGGCCAATGTTTGGATACTGGCTTGCCTTCCCTACACTAATGGTTCTCTTTGAACGCGTTTGGCGCTTGGTTCTAAGCTTCCGCCCGATCAATGCTGACATCGAGCTACTGGACGATGAGACTGTCGCTATTACGGCAAAAGTTCCCAAGACTCGCCCTTGGGACTATAAGGCTGGGCAGTACGTGTTTGTGCAGGTTCCGCAGCTGTCCCGATTCCAGTGGCATCCGTTCACAGTATCGACATGCATCAAGAACACTATGCAGGTTCACATCAAGGCCGATGGCGACTGGACAAATCAACTCCGTGATCTGGCTAAGGAGGGGGGTAAGCGAAGCATCAAGATCGGATTAGATGGTCCATTTGGTGCACCTGCGCAACGATTCTACGACTTCGAGTACAGCATGGTTTTCGGGTAAGCTGAATACGCCTCATATCAATGCGAGCCAAATGCTAACATCTTACAGTGCTGGTATCGGCGTGACACCCTTTTCCGGAGTACTAACAGATCTCCAACAACACGAACTCGAACGAGTCAAGTCTATGGAGAACTCAGCTGAACTCTCCGACGACACTCGTCAACAATCATCGCCTTACACCAACCACCGCCGAGTCGATTTCCACTGGATGGTCCGCGATAAGAACAATCTGCTATGGTTCTCTGATCTCCTGAACGAAGTCTTCCGGACGGGACCCAAAGCCCCAGATCTCGACATCCGCATCAACACGTACGTGACGCAGAAGCGCAAGCAAATCTCTCAACATGTATTCAGGTGGTTATTGGAGAAACATCGTACGCCAGAGTTCCCCCAGTCGCCCATCACGGGTCTTGTCAATCCCACTCATTTTGGACGGCCGGACATCCGCGGCATCATGGAGCGACATTATGATGATATGAGCAAGGTGCTAGCGGAGGGACTGGATGATAAGAACCAAGGCAGTAATGATGAAGTCAAGGTCGGCGTTTTTTTCTGTGGTCCGCCTGTCATTGGCCAGCAGATTGCGGATCAGTGCAGCATGTTGAGTGCGAGAGCACGGAATGAGGGTAGGAAGATTGAGTATCGGTTCATGATTGAGGTCTTTGGTTAGATTATATAATTTGGAAATATTGAAATTCCTGTTCACGAATAACTGAATGCATAGTCTCAGAGGGAAATTCTATGGCCCCATCTTGTACGAAAAATAAAAATAAAAAATATTCCACCAGACAAAACATGTGAAGACAACTTTGCGTGTCCAGGAACTTCGAATGCAGGGGCACGTGCACTAGCGTTACTTACGTATAGTACTAACTCCGCAGCATTAACGCCGACGTGTCGGAACAGCAACCTCCACACCCGCACTCATCCTCTACAACAATCATTCTCCGCAACCCTACTTCTCAACCCCCGACCTTCTTTTCCTCCACAAAACACCTTCCCCCCTCCCCCCCCCCAAAAAAAAGAGCCTACCTCCTCAACCCCAACCGCTTTCCAACCCACCTTCAACACCACAACCCCGCAACGCCGCCGCCCTCCGCCCACCAAATCCACCCCCCCCTCTCTCTATTCCAGCAAACCATGGCCTCAACAGCCGCAAAGCGCCTCTTCAAAGAATACCGCGCCCTATCCTCGGACCCGCCCGAGGGCATAACCGCCGGCCCCATAAACGAAGACGACATGTTCATCTGGGAAGCCCTAATCCAAGGGCCCGAAGGCACCCCGTTCGAAGGCGGTGTTTTCCCCGCTGAACTGCGGTTTCCCAAGGATTACCCCTTGGCGCCCCCCAAGATGAAGTTTATTACCGATATGTGGCATCCGAATGGTACGTCATTACACTTTTTTTTCTCTTCTTCTTCTTCTTCTTCTTCTTCTCCTTTCCTGATTGCTGTGTGGTATTTGAGGGGAAGGAGGGTTTGGAGAGAAAGGGTGTTTGTGGAGGGCAAAAAAAAACTGACGTTTTTTTTGGTAGTCTATCCCAACGGCGAAGTTTGCATTTCGATTCTACATGCGCCCGGTGAAGATCCCATGCAGTACGAACAAGCGTCGGAGCGGTGGTCGCCGATTCAAAGTGTGGAGAAGATTCTGATTAGTGTCATGAGTATGTTGGCGGAGCCGAATGATGAGAGTCCGGCGAATGTGGATGCGGCGAGGATGTGGAGGGAGAAGAGGGCCGAGTATGAGAGTATTGTTAGGGCGAATGTAAGGAAGAGTTTGGGGTTGTAAAGGTGGGGATGAATAGATTATGGGTTATGGATTATGAATGCATATGTCTGTACGGAGTTGGATTGAAAATGTTATCATGTTCGATTTTGTGTAGTGTGTTGTGTAGGTGATGATTTATGTGAAGCCTTTGCTTGAAGAATTAACAAAATAGTAATGACGCCGTATCCCCGCTGCCCAAACCAAGCAAGTACTCTCGCGTTTGCCATCATAATCTCATAATTCGTTCAAACAATCTCCAAATCAAACGCCTCGCCATAGCCATTGTAGCACACGCCCCGGTAATTCCATGTCGGACACTTGGCCTGCACATTACCACTCCGATCGGTAGCGCGACTGAAAATCGTAACATCCTTGCCCTTGTCGATCTTGACTCTTGCCTTCCACAGTGCCCACGCCCACTTGAGCTCCACGTTCTTTGCATCTTCGCCTTCGTACTCGTTAATCAGTTCAGCCTCCTCCCACGACTGTCCGTCATCGACGCTAACCTCGACCTTGACAATGGGACCGTCTGCTCCGCTGGGTAATGCGTAGCCCTTGACTTCGATTGTGCCATCTGCATCTCGTTGCACGGTAGTACCTGATTTTGGGACACCGACGACGCTGTTGACTGGCATTTCCTCGATCGAGCTCACTTTGCCCCACCATTCTTTTGCCTTTTCCTTGCTATCTGCCTCAGGAGGCAGGATCTTGTAGTCTTGCTGCTGGTAGTAATTCTGGCTCTCGCACATTTGGACGGAGATCTGATCGAGCCACTTGACGCACCTGGCGCCAGCAATGCCGGGAGTGACGACGCGAACAGGGGCGCCGCGGTTTGGTGTGAGTGGCTTGCCGTTCATCTCAAGAGCAATCATGATTGCATTTTCCGGGTTCATCGCCCGTGAAAGCGGGATGCTGGCGCCGTAGTAGCTGTCATCCTGTGTAGTCGTCTGAAAGCAAGAGAAAGCGACATGGGCTTCGCTCATTCTTCCCTCTTCAACCTTTACACCGGCCTTGTTCAGGACGTCCTTTAGGAGAGGACCACTCCATTTGCAATTCATGACTGCGCCATCATACCAATCTATACCGCAGACTTCCTTCAATTTCGTTCGCATGGTGTGGCGGCGGTTTCCCGCACACTGCAACGCACTAACAACATGGTGCTGTGGAAGTGCCTGGAGATCTGCAATGGAGAGCGAAACCTCATTCTTTACAAGCCCGGTAACCGCTACTCGGTGCGTATCAATGTCGATGTATGGAATGGGCCCATGGTTACGATCGTAGCCGTCTTTTGTGATGAAACTAGAGACCCACCATTAGCCCCCGGATTTCACACTTGCTCCACTGCGCTTGCGGCCATATAAATACCTCTGGACGAGCTTGTCAAGCTCCGGCTCGCGATTTAGCGGCTTTTCGACCGAGTATACAAGCTATGACATCAGAGTCAGCCCTATGCTTCGTAAAGGGACGTAAAACCCAGTCTGGCGTTCCAACTAGGTAACGTAGTCTGCCGTTTTAGGCAGATTTGATGGTGAAAACGGGGCGTGTACCTGAACCATGGTGGTCTATTGTGGTATGGCGGCGATGGCGTGATTGAGTGATGGAAGGCGTAGACGAAAAGCAGCGGGACCGCGCAGGTATAAGCGACGGCCGTGGGGGCGGGGTAACGGCGGCTTCGGCTTTTTGGCGGGAACCACGTGTTGATGCAATGAGGCAGGTGCAGAGGCGGTGTACGGGTAGCAGCGGTCTGGGGACCTTGGTTGCTTGAAGATGCACACGTTGGGTATGGAAAGGAGGTCGAGGATTTATTGAATCCTGCACGATATGCTTTGATCGGCGTCATGGCGCTGGAATAGCAAGTGATTTTGGTGTTATCGGGGTCTACACGCTTGTTCTAGCATTGAGTTTGTTCATCGCTTTTGTAGTGGCACTGCGCAATCGCCGTTATTCACTTCGGGGATTAGCTAATTTCGGGGTCTACGTCACGTCGGGGACTACTTGAGAACCATGCTCAATGGTCTTACTATAAAATCCATTGGACTGATGAATTCTCTCGTCGTGTACTAACTTATCAGTACATATTCCTCCTGCAACATCCCGATGACGCGATCCTTTCTGTATATCGCCATTGGCTGAACCTTCTCTCGCCAGCCGCACATGCGTACATTCCTCTCCACCTTACGCTCAAAAGCATCTTGAGACTATCCGTGTTAGGCCCATCCATTCTCTCCTCGTGCTTATCTCATTGGCTTCTGTGCTGCGAAGGGCCTGACCGCTATCTTGCGGTAGAGCACATGGGCTGGGAAATCCTGATACTCCTCCGTCTCTTGTTTGGGCATGCTCTCATCCTCCTCCCTATCAACTCTCTTTAATCCCCCCTCCATGACCTTCCATATCCCCCCTCTCCTTTTATCAGCTCTCTCTCGCTGCTCCTCTTCTTCCTGGTTTCCTTCCCGCTCTCCCTCCCTTTCCACTCGCTCCCAATAAGCATCCTCAACACATCCAATCTTACACCGCACACATTCCACCGCACAAGCATGCGCCTACTCAACATCAGCGCACTCGGCTCTCTTCTTTGCTTCTTTTTTTTAAGCACTAACCTCGCGAGTATCCATTGGACCGCGACAAGCATCTTCAGCTGCGACGAGCGCCAATAACGATATCACCACCATCTGAAAAGTCATGAGGAGGATAGGGATGATGATGAAAATCCCACAACAGGAATATTCACTCATGATTCCGGGTTTGGAAGATATTAAAGGTAGGCAGATGACTACTATGCTGGTTCTAAGACTAGGGTTGCAGAGTCCCTTTTCTCCGAGTGTGAGTGATATGCAGCGTCTTGTTGCGAACAGAAGTGGACATATATACATGGGGGATACCAAAACATTGCGTTTGCCGTTTGATTATGCCGCGTTGGTTGGAGGCTGGGAAGAGCAGCTGTCGCGAGGTAGTCACATCCTGCAGATGACGAACTAATTAGCACGCTTGAAATGCGTTAGATTAGCTTGCAGCAAGACAGCTACGTTCGCTCAACATGCTGCGTTTGGTCGGACACGAAGTACTTTGCCAGCAATCCACAAACGGGCAGTGATAATCTTGCATTGGTACCTGTGTATCGTATTCGTAAACGTTGGTCAAACCAACAATCCTAGGCTCCGTTGGGCCGAAAAGAGTCGGAAAAGAAATACCCATAGTCGAGATAGCCGTACCAAAACTTCAACGATGATTCACGGAACCGTCCCGAACGACACCCTTCGCGATCATCACATTTCCATCCCCTAGCCATCCATCTCCTCACCTAGGTCATCAAGATCAGATGAGCGCCAATCTTCAGCATCGCTCTCTTCCATGAATATCTCCTCAAAGCTCGCATCACCCCAATCAGCTTGATTCTTCGACTGACACAGCGCCATCGCCTCGAATTCATGGTAGTTGTGCTGGATAGTATCCTGTGACAGTTCCCATGGAGACCGGGGCCCATTCCTACCTTGGGCTATCGGCGATGTGTGAGTACAAGGGTGGCCAGCTTCATGAAAATAATTTCCATAGTCGGAGCTAGAGCCAAGCATCGAATTTGTAGACGGCGGCGGCGTCGGATACCGCTCATTCCTTACCCGATTGGGCTTCTTGTGGATCACTTCATCAGACTCATTCTGCAGCTGAGAAGATGGAGAATCGATCTTGATTGAGAACGTGGCCGTATTCATCAAGACACCGGAATGCCGCGACTCGCGTGTCCAAGATTTGGCATCAGGTGTGTCGTCCTGCATCGATTGAAGCATAGGATATGGTAGGTTTGTAGGTGGTGATTCGACGTGGCTGTCAGCCATATTGTTCTTCTCCAGCTTTTGGCGCTTAAGCTGAATATCTGGGGCACTATTCATGAAGTTTTCGTCGGCACGGGTTGCGTTGTCTGCATGCGATGAATTCGTGCGCTTTCTCGATACTTTTGCGCCAGGTTCCAACTCTAAATCGTGTACGTTATGCATAGAGACACTTGAGGCAGCGGATTCGGCGTAACCCTTCTTATAGCACTCGCTATCGGGATCGGGATCGGGGCCGCGGTCCACCCGATCGACCAGAGAATCTGGAAGAGAAGTAGGGCCATGCCGACAACCATATAGTTGAAGAGATTCGGTGCTTTTGTGCGGTGGTATAGCCAATATTAGTGTAGTCAGTGCTCGGTGGGTTTCCGTCACCGAGTCAAATTGTCGGGCGTGTACCGTGTTGAATTTGATGGCGTACCGCGATCTACGTTCGAAACGCACCTTTTCTGGAAAGCGTGTGATAATTTTAGCTTGTATTATTGTCTCCAATACTGCTGCTGTGTTGCCCTATAATCAGTAGTCAGTAGAGCCAGCAGAGTTGCCGTATCCCGGAGGTGTTTCATCCCACCTCTAACTTGTCTGGGGCCTGCATGCGGAAGAGCTTGGCCTTATGGTCCCATTTAACCATGGAGGAAGACTTTGTCACAACATATCTGACATAATCGGGAAAGCTCTTGCATCCCGATATTCCAGGCTCTTGAAGGATCGGGCGGCGGCAAGGGGCAATGATATATCGAGCTCCTGGCCTTATCTGAGCAGGACCAACCATGAAATCGAAGGCAGGGGGGTACCAGGCTATATCGGCATTGACAGCAATCAACGGAAAGGAAAACCAATCAATTGAACATTTGACGAAGATGCATGGTCCAGCTGGGGTGTTCTGAAAGCAGTCCTGTATGGAGATGAAGTTGTAGACAAAGGTATGAAGATCACCAGAACCAAGCGACCAGTGGAGGCTTTGCAGAGCAGGATGGCTCGTACGCTCTTCGTAGAAGGCATCAATCATGTCATAAAGAAGAGAGGAAACATCGATATTTATGAAGCACGCGTAATTCTCGGGAAAAGACTGGATGAGACAGGGAAGAAGGGAAACTTGGTCGACATAATCTAGATCAGACTTAGTAGAGGTTACAAGAAGGTGGAGGACCTGCCAATGCAATGAAGCCAAACTCATTTCCATTTTCAGCCCCAGCATAGAGTAGATGGGATGTTTCCAAGATTAGGTCATCACCTTTGCGTTTGCTCAGTTGAATAATGGCAGTGCGTCGTAAGCGTTCTTCAATCCGCGAGGCTAAGCACTGGTGGAACAAGAACTCCCAGAGCGTAAGCTCGCGAGCTTGCATCCAAGACAAGGCCCTCCAGCAAGATACGGTATCGACATGACCGATAGCTGTTCCTAATCAGCACCACGAAGCCCTGGATGCGATCTGCGACAAGTAAGATATGCGTACCTTGCTGCGTGACTTGTGACTTGCGTAGCCTTGGGTGGTACATCTTGCAAGGTTGTGCGTTTGAGTTTGCAGCGAGACCGTGCATCTTCACGTCAAAAGTCACTTGAGCCAAGAGAGCTATCATGTGCGGGTTCGCTATGGTTGTCGTAACTGGCGATGGATGAGCATGGCTGTCAGCGCCGACACTCTGGTGCAGCGGCGACTAGGGAAGTCAGCAATGCTCGCAAGCCGGGGTTAACATGCTTACATGAGGTTCGGTAGACATGGTGTATTGGTACGAATCAATAGATGCGCAGGAATAATACGGTGATGTGAAGATGGGCAACTGGTTCGGGAGCGGTGCTGGTGGTCTGAGGGATGGTGCAGACGTTGGAGCTCCTTACGGGTGGGCAACCACGAGCGCCTTCCTCTTGTATTGACTGACGCACATGCAGCGCTCGCAACAACAATGGAATGCTGATGGCACCTTCCCACCTTCTACTGCGGTGCATGTTCTACACTAACCCGTCTAAATGGCATCCATAGAAGCGCGAGTGGTGAGGCGCTCGTTCTTGTTGCCCAGTTTGGATATCTGGAGGAAGGCATCAACGCCATAGCCTTCGAGACTATGTATTTCCAGACTTCCAGCCCAATATTCTAAGGACAGTCAGTCAGTCATATCGAAGTGAGCCTATTGTCATTTGCTTACCTGCATACAGCCGCGACATTGGAAGCCCGATGCCGAGACGGAGATCTGGCGCACGACTGGTAAGCGAAGATAAAGAGCCTATGTGATGGCCTGAGTCGCCGTATTTTGATCGCGTGTCTTGCTTTTGTTGTATCTCTGCGGCAGACTCAGCGCCAGGCACTTGCAATTCCTGCAGCGTCCCGAGGAGCTTTGGTACCCTCGCCAAATTCTCCATCCGCCTCTGGCGTCGCGGCCCTTTGCTGAAGCTCCACAAATAAGGCAGGACCTCATTCGGGATTCCACCGCCCTGGTCAGAGATGCGGATGATGACGTGCTGCGAAGTCTCGCATATCAAAACTTCGATTGGTGGCAGCTTGGTGCCTTTGGATTTGGGCTGTTCAATGACGGCCTGGATTGAGTTGCGCAGCAATTCGCCAATGATGTACTCGAGATGGCTCAAGATGTAGGGAAACGTCGCTTCGACATGGCCGTAGACTTTGATTTCGGGAATTGCAACATCGGGGCCATAGGTGCGTCTGATGAGCTCCCGCATAGTCTTCCCGCAGTCTTCGACGATTTCCTTGGCGTTGCATCGCAGAAAGATCTCACCAACGGCTTCTTGGTCATGTGGAGGGTGCTTGGCCTGGGGGAAGTGCCAGGGCGAGTTGAAGGTTTCGGTGAGAGCAAGATGTTGTTCTGCAATGACTCTGCGAGATATGCGCTGATTTGCATCAATATGGTTCAAGTGCGCGAGTGAGGGCAAAACAATACCGAGCGCAGCATGGTGGTCATGAACTTGTCGGTTTCCTCTGGCTTGATGAGGCCTCGCACCTCCAAGACACCTGTTGCGAGGCGGGGTATGACGGTCGCGTGCTCAGTCAATGTCTCCTCGAGCACCTTGCAATACTTTTCATTGTCTTGCAGCGAGCGTATTTCAGGTATGCGACGAAAGCGCTCAAAGGCGCGCAGGTAGGACTCGTAGACATGGGCAAGATGGGGATTGGCGACGACGACGTAGGGCAGGGTTTGGATATCGCGAAGACGATGGGCGAGTCTGCAGAGAGTCAACAGGATGCTCTGGCACGCAGGGCGCCATGGTACGACCTGGTGGGAAGCTCCAATCTGCAGTAGTTGGCCGAGTCGAGCAGACGAGACTCGGTGAGGGTTCTTCCGAAGAAAGTCAACTGGCGCAAGCTTATGGGCCTGGCTTCACGCTGCACCCATCTGTAGTCTGGTATCAGCTCTAGTGGCCATGGAGCATGAGTTGCTGGTACGCAGCTTACTCGTCGAGGGCCGAAGACGGTCTCCATGCGGGCGCAACGGCTGCGGCATGCTGAGAGCGGGCTTGGGGTGGGGCGTGGGCAACGGGACGAGGGGTTCTTCGCAAGCCATTGTAGGAGCGCCGCACAGCTGGCGCGAGACGGTGTTTTCCTACAATCATAGCTGCTGAGAGTCTCAGAGGCAAGTGTTTGGGTCTGCGAGGTTCTGTTGGCACTGCACCTGGACACGGGCACATGTGACATTGAGCTCCGCACTCGGGCGCACCACTGCTTTGGACGAGCGAACCTCAACACCTGGGATTCTCTGACAGCGCCAAAGTACAGGCAGTCTACCGAGGACGCGTCGTCAGCCGGTGCAGACGGGCGCAATTCCACAACAGAAAGTGTCCTGTGTGTGTTGCAGGCGTCAATGGTGGCCCGGGGGGGCATGGCATGATGTCTTGCCAGCCTCGGACGGAATGACAAACGGACGAATGACGTCGTGGGTTGGATGCTCTCCACCGTCGATAAACGCCAAGGCTGCACCCACACTTGCAGACAAGAGAGCTGGCCTGGCTCGCTGGCTGGCTGGTCGTTGGCTTGCGAGTCTTGTTCTTCCCCCCGGCTTCTGTCTTTGTGTGTCGCAGACTGCCCTCTCCTAAGCCCCTCCCGCCCAAGTACACTACTTCCTCCTACCCCTACATACATAATTTTTTTATTTTTTTTGGGACCGTGGCAGGGCGATAATCCCATCGTCACGTCTCCACAGCCGCCACCTTTTAGCGAGACAGCCATCCTTGCCCGTGTGTCGCTCGCGCGCATCTGCTCCCGCCCGCCTGCAACTTCGTTCCTTTCAGACTGAGAACGGCGACTGGCGCGCAGCTTCCCTCGGCCACCAACCCTGCGTTGAGCGCACACCATCGTGCCTTCCCGCCCGCCATCCGCCCCGGAAGCTCCTTCTCTGCCGGCCTGCTGCTTCCTGCCGTCGCCGCCGCTGCTGCTGCCTGTCTGTCCCCGCTGCCGCCACCACCACCACCTCTACCACCACCATCTCCCGCTGCTGCCGGGCCCGAGCAGACACCATGGACCAGGTGAGCTTGCGCCCTTGGCTGCACATCGACACAATGCCCCCGACATGCTGACCCCACTGTGCCTGCAGCTTGAGAGTGACATGCTCGTCGACCACGAGTACGACGAAAAGGCCGACGTTGCCATCATCACGCCCGACACGGATGATGCCATGGACGACGTCGACGCCGATGCCGAACCCCGCGCAGACGAGTACGATGCTTTCATGAAGAGGCATATGCCCAAGACTGCTGAGTATGAGACAGAGGCCGAGGCCTACCACACCTGGGAGATCAGAGACTGGCGGACACTCACTAGGCGTGAACACGGCCCCATATTCGAGTGCGGTGGACATCCCTGGCGTATCCTCTTCTTCCCCTACGGCAACAATGTCGACTTTGCCTCCTTCTACCTCGAGCAGGCCTACGACGAGAAGCAGATGCCCGAGGATTGGTATGCCTGCGTAGAGTTTATGCTCGTCCTATGGAACCCAAACGACCCCAGCATCTTCACAACGCACACCGCACACCACCGCTTCACCGCCGACGAGGGCGATTGGGGCTTCACGCGCTTCGCCGAGCTTAGAAAGCTATTTAGCAACTCGTGGGAGGATCGTGGCCGGCCAATGGTCGAGGACAATGCCGCCAATGTGACGGCATACGTCAGAGTACTAAAGGACCCCACCGGTGTGCTATGGCACAACTTCATCAAGTGAGTCTTGACATTGCGACGTGAAAAGCCTCACTTCTGACTTGGCTAGCTACGACTCGAAAAAGGAAACTGGCATGGTTGGTCTCAAGAACCAGGGCGCAACATGTTACCTGAATTCGCTTCTTCAATCCCTGTTCTTCACAACGGCGTTTCGTCAAGTAGGTACCAAGCCTGAGCCAACAATACTTCTACTGACCTTGGTAGGCCGTATACCAAATCCCCACTGCGGAAGAGGCCGACCGTTCGAATAGCGCATACGCCCTGCAGAGGCTTTTCTACCTCCTACAAACATCAACCACCGCCGTGGGAACCACGGAATTGACCCACTCTTTCGGTTGGGACTCTAAGCAGATTTTTGAGCAACAAGATGTGCAGGAGCTATCTCGCGTGCTCATGGACAAGCTCGATGAGAGAATGAAAGGCACAGAGGCTGAGGGCGCCTTGACAAAAATGTTTGTTGGCAAGATGAAGACCTACATATCATGTATTAACGTCGACTACGAATCTTCTCGCGTTGAGGAATTCTGGGATATCCAATTGAATGTGAGCGGCAACAAGAACCTCGACGACAGCTTCAGAGACTACGTCCAGGTCGAAACCATGGACGGTGAAAACAAATATTTTGCAGAGGGCTTTGGACTACAGGACGCCAGAAAGGGCGTGATTTTCGAGAGCTTTCCGCCTGTGCTACATCTCCAACTAAAGCGTTTCGAATACGACTTCCAGCGCGACGCTATGATGAAGGTCAACGATCGTTACGAATTTCCAGAGGTTTGGGACGCCGCGCCCTACCTCTCCGAGGGCGCCGACCGATCAGAATCGTGGGTGTATCATCTTCACGGCGTTTTGGTTCACAGCGGCGATCTTAATGCCGGTCATTACTACGCTTTTCTCAAGCCTACCAAGGACGGACACTACTACAAGTTTGACGACGATCGGGTTACACGCGCCACGCTGCGGGAGGCGCTCGAGGAAAACTTTGGTGGTGACTATGTGCAAGCCAACGGAAACACCGGCCAGCGGAATCCCTACACACGAGCCTGGTCTGCAAAGCGCTCCATGAGCGCTTACATGCTGGTTTACATCAGAGAGACAAGACTCGATCAGGTGCTTATGGACAGTAAAGCTGTAGAGCCCCCCAAGCATCTGGCCGAGCGACTTGCTGAGGAACGGGCCGCCTTGGAGCGCAGGAAGAAGGAGCGCGAGGAGGCGCATCTCTACATGGACGTTGCCGTCGCGTCCAACGATCAATTCAGCGTCTATCAGGGATTCGACATAGTGCCGTGGAAGAACGAGGTAGAGACGCCCGCTAGTCCAAAGATCTACCGAGTTCTCCGAGCGACTACAATGGCCGACTTTGCGGCAACCGTTGCCCAGGACTTGGGAACGCAGGCTGATATGCTACGTCCGTGGTCCATGGTTAACAGACAAAACGGTACCGTTCGCCCTGATACGGCTCTGGAGTTCCCTGAAATGACGGTCGAAGAGGCGGCTAGTAAGCATGGCACAAAGCAGGCGCAGTTCAGAATGTGGATCGAAAAGGCCGAGGACCGCGATGAGACTGGCGCGCCGATATTTGGTGAACGATTGGTAGACCTCAAAGGCCAGGCTAACAACCGCCCACTGATGATCTTCCTGAAGCACTTTGACGCCAATCAGCAAAGTCTATTTGGCATGGGAACCTTCTATGCAGCATATCAAGACAAAGTGTCCGACCTTACACCTACAATTCTGAAGATGATGGGCTGGCCCGCTGGAACGCAGATCAAGCTCTCAGAAGAGATCAAGCAAAACATGATCGAAGCAATGAAGCCCAAGGTAACATTGGCAGCCTCTGAGATTCAAGACGGCGACATCATTACCGTCCAACGCGTACTCAGTGAAAAAGAGGCTGCGCAAATCACTGCGGCAGGAGGCTATACCGAAGCCAAGGAATTCTACGATTATTTACTTAACAAGATTAACATTGAGTTCGTGCCAAGGGTACCTGAAGCAGATCTGCCGACCTTTTCCCTGACTCTTAGCAAAAAGATGGCATATGATCAGTTCGCTAGCAAAGTAGCGGAGCAACTCAAGACTGATCCCAGCCACCTCCGCTTCACCACCGTCAGCACTGCTGGTAAACCCAAGCAAGCCATCAAATACAGCGCCACCTCAACACTAAACAACATCCTTTTCCCTGGTCCATACAACTACTCGGCGAGTGCTATGCAGCGAAACGATGCGTTGTTTTACGAAGTGTTGGATATGAGCTTGAAGGAGCTAGAGCAGAGGAAACCCGTCAAGGTGACGTGGCTGCCCGATGGACTTAGCAAAGAGGTGAGTGCTCGTGTACATCGTACTTGCTTATGCTCTTCATTGCTAACACGAGACAGGAGGAACACACGTTGATGGTCCCCAAGAACGCCCAGGTTTCCGATCTCCTCGAGGCTCTGCAAAAGAAAGCCGGCATCAGCGATGAGATAATGCAAAAGACGCGGGCATACGAGGCTCACATGCACAAGTTCCACAAGGTCCTTCCACCAGATCACTCCATCATGAGCCTCTACGACTACACCCAAATCTTTGTCGCGCCTTACTCTGACGACGAGTCGTCAAAGAAGATTACAGTTTTCCACTATGACAAGGAACCATCAAAACCACATGGTGTTCCATTCCAACTCTCGATCAAGGAGGTAGGTTATGCACTAGTACGTGGCCACTGCACGACCGATGCTGACATGGTATAGGGCGAGCCGTTTAGCGAGACCAAACAGCGACTTTCAGACTTCACCAAGATCAAGGGCAAGCAATTGGATAAGATCAAGTTTGCTCTTGTAAGCAGGTCGCAATACTCGAAGCCGGAACCTTTAGATGATGGTAAGGCATTGTCCCTTTGTATTTCTTTGTTAGCACACACTGACAGATTGTAGACGATGTATTATGGGACGCAATAGCAGGGCGCGACGATGTTTCACTAGGACTCGACCATCCAGCCAAAACACGGACGCTCTGGGGCAAGACAGACTCCATCTTCATTCGTTGAAGCCTAGAAACAGCAGTGTAGGATATCACGAGACCGCCCAGAACCATTGCACGTTGCGGCGACCTCACATTTTAGCAAGAGAAAAAGATACATGTCTGGATTGCTAAGCGGGGTAGGATGCATTGCGCGCATTCAAGAAGCGTTGGCGCAGGAAGCTTTGAGGCATTGCATAGGCGGAGTCGCGTGCGTGAACAAGTGAGCACAGGCGTCGAGATGTTTGTAGCGTCTTATTTGGATCACGTGTAGCGTGTGCATCGTGCAGACCAGGATAGCAGAAGTAGCATTATGGCTTGGTTGTTAGTCTGCCTGCATACTTTACACATGTATGTACCATACTACATACACATGTACAACAACGTACTCGATGATCTGCGGGAAGCCATGTTCCTTTGCTCTCATTCGCCACTATTGCTAATAGTCATCCCCGCGCCCGCGCTTTCCCCTGTCGCACATCCCTGCATCGGCAAAATGTGGTGCCGACGTTGTCGACAGCTGGAACTTAGCAACACCTGAACATCCAAGAACCAAAGCAGTCGTCTCACGCCAACACACACGATGCGCGGGTTCCTTACGCTACTCAGCGTTATGCTGACTTACACCACTGCGGTGTATGCTACCGCTCTCACCTACAAAATGGATGCACACGAAGTAGCCTGCTTCTTCGCAACTACTGTGAACAAGGGGACTAAGCTGGCCTTTTACTTCGCTGTACGTCGAGTCCTCAACTTACAATTGCACTTTCTGCATGGACTTCAATGTCCATACTAGGGAACCATACAATGCACAGTGTGATCAGTCAGTTTATGAAAGCAAAACTGACGAGTTATATGAACAGGTACAATCCGGTGGTTCGTTCGACATCGACTACAAAGTCACCGGTCCTGGAGACAAAGTTATTATCGATGGTACAAAGGAACGTCAGGGGGACTTTGTCTTCACCGCGAATGATGTTGGAGAGTACAAATTCTGTTTCAGCAACGAGATGAGTACATTTGCGGAGAAGGTGGTGGATTTCGAGATTGCCGTACGTCTTTCCCTGGCTCATACCCTCTCGCATGCCCTACTCTTACTGACCCTCTCTGCGTACACAGGTCGAGAACGAAGCCGCCCGCGCCAAGATTCCCTCCAAGCAGGGCTCCTCCCCTGAGCAGACCTCCGTAATCGAAGAGTCCATCCTCAAACTTTCAGCACAACTCTCGACCATTTCGCGCAACCAAAAGTACTTCCGCACACGCGAGAACCGCAACTTTAGCACTGTCAAGAGCACCGAGAAGAGGATATTCAACTTCAGTCTGATGGAGTCAGGTCTGATTGTGACCATGGCAGCTCTCCAGGTCTTCATTGTCCGATTCTTCTTCCAGGGTGCTAGGAAAGGTATTATATGACATCTGCACAATTTTGGTTGGATTTCAAGTTGTTGCAGGCTGACGTTTGTTGGTAGGCTACGTATGAGTGTTCCTGCATTGTTCTGGTTAGAGTTGAAGAAAGATTCTCTGCGAAGCATATAGCGCGGGCACTTGGCATTGTTATGTGTGTGGCTGAGTAGAGTGAGTGTTTTGTTTTGAACTATCTCTTTAAGGCGCTACTGGGACTTGAATCACGTGTACCAACATTCTTGTACCTATAGGGCTCATCGAGCCATCAACTAGGGATGAGAAGAATGTTATTGAGATACTTAAGGGCTCACTGTCTGTTCGCAATATTGTAGTATGAAGATAGCGACACTAGCGATATGTTCATCGTTGTTTGTCAGGATATTTGATAGCGACCAGTAGCGAATCGCACGAACGCACACTCCGCAATACTGCTGACACGCTACAATAATGCTGTTACCTTTAAATGACATCTGATAACGGTACCCTTCATACTCATTTCTGGTGCCTTGCATCTATGGGAACGCACTAGATATTCGCCCACGTGGTATAGACCGCCCCGTACATATTCACCGTACTCACCTTATTGATGCCTTAGACAAACACGGACGACTCGACGACATAGTCACCTGTAATTGCCTTCACTTAGTACCAAACCTGTTTCCACATCTCTACAAGACGAGTAGTTCCTAGCAGATTCTTCGTCGTTATCGACTTGCGTTATTCAAACTGTCGCTTGGTCCTGCAGTTCTGTTGCGTGGTTGGCAGCGACTTTCTAAAGTCAACTTCACCTCATCTCTTGCTCACTTAACTCCTTCCAAATCTCTTATATCCACCCGCTTCCCATATCTCTTCTCACCACCCATCTTTATTCCTTCATCCCACGCGGCGATCGGTACTTCTTCCACATTGCGGTTTACGTACATAACAGTTATACATCGCCATCGACCCCTTAGCTTTAGGGCAGCCTGTGGCTACCTTCACATCCAGTAGCGCGACACCGCGTTCCCTATACCCATCTTCCGATCTATTCGCACATTGTTTATCTAATATGGATAATCATCACACCTTTCCTGCAAGTCGAGTGTACAACAACAACCACATAAACGACAGTAGTAGCTACCGAGTTCCGCCATCAACCGGATACCCCGTACAGCCAGTTCGGCCGCCTATGATCCCACCACAACAAGCAGTGTATAGAGAGAATGCCACTGCGCTCACCTATACCAGGAACCAAATGGTTCACAACATCTGGATGCGGGATCCACAAACTGGAAAGGCTGTGGTACGGCCTGCTAAGGGACTGTCATGTCCCGGCAGTTACACAGATTTGACCACTGGTCAGAGATATACATACCAACAGATGATCGAGATTACGGGTAAAATCCTTGCGGAGCATTTCTCCAGAACGAAGCCTCAAGTCGATCAAGCCCAACTATTCCAGGCCGTGCAAGTCCAACAGCGGTTCCAACCACAGATGCAGTCACAGGTGCATCCACATCACGTTGGACACCCTCTGTGTGAATACACAGACGGAAGGGCGTATCAGTCGCAAAGCAGGCCAGAGGTACAGAACCAACGCTTCGCAGAGCAACAGGCGCACATGACGCAGCAAGGTCAGGGACAGCAATCACTACTACAGCAGGGAATTCATCCATCCACGCAGCCATTGTCGCACGTGGCGAAGGCAGGAAATCCCACTTTTATCGACAAGCTTGGTCGTCAGTGGAGCCGCCAACAGTATGAGGAACTTGTTCGGCGCCAGGAAGCACAGAAGGCCCAAGCATCGACAACAAGAGGCTCTGGACTGGGGTCACAGCTCCAGCAAGCCTCACAGACACCGTCGCTCATGACGATGAGTTTAAATGACTCTTTGCATATGAATGATATGCACAATGGAATGGCGCCGCAGACGCACCCAGATCTACTTCAGCACCAGAAAGGCAACATGGGACCACCTCCAGGACCCGCAAACCCAGGAGTTCAACAGCAGCACCAATATATGCCGCCGGGAACTAAGAGTCTACAACAGTCTCCGATCGCGGATCAGTCTGGTCGGCAATGGACACGAAGTGAATGGGAGAAGGTTGAGAGATGTCGAGAATCTAAGAAGAACCTTGTTCCACCAAGTCATGCCACAAAAGCTTCCGTCCCAGGAAATCCTTCTAGGAAGCCTGTAGCCCACAAGCAGAGCATGAGCAAGATTCAAAAGCAGCCAGTCAGCCAGCCAGCCGCCAGTGTAGCGCAGTCTAAGAAGCCATCAGTGACACAGCCTGCCAAGCAAGCAGTGCCTTGCGAAGTGAAAGTGACTGGCAAAGAAGTAGCAAACGAGTCGCTCAACTCACTCGCAACTTCAACCAGTGTCGCCCCAGTTCCTCAGAGCAATCAACCAACCCAAATTTCAATGTCCAAACAACCCAGCATCGCCCTCAACACTACACCCACACCAAACCCACCTCCCGTCGTCAACCAACCCCCCGTCTCCACCCAACCCATCACCGTCAGCCAATGGGACGTAGAAAACGGCCGTATGATTCACGACTCGATAACTTCATTCATCTCCTCGCACCAAGAAGCTCACCACGAAGCCATATCCAAAGTCGCCGCTCCCACCCCCACCCTCAACCCTCGCATCACCAGCCCTTCCTCCACTACTAACTCTCCCCCAACCACTGCCACCGCCCCCAGCCTCCCCTCCCCTTCCATCCTCTCCATCTTCACAACAGTCAAACACCACCACCACTCCACCGGCCTCTCCGACTTCTCAGAACTCAACGGCGGCGTCCTCGCCAAAGTTGATAATCTAGAACTCCTAAGGACGATTTGCACCGTTGATCCGGATGGGAGTTTTCGCGCGCCAGAGCCAAGGTGGGTGAGTGAGGAGAGGGCGAGGTTGGAGTGGGAGGTTTGCGTGGTTGGCAGGAGGTATCGGTGATTTTTGTGGGTGGGAAGGTGTTGGATGACTGGAGATGGGGGGGGGTTTTATTTCTTTCTTATTTCATTCGCGGATATGGGATATGTCGCTTCGGGTCTGACGCTTCAGACTGTGGACGCTAGAGGTTCGCCATCGGGTCTATCTTTTTCTTTGTTTCTTTTACTATCACTGGGTACATGTGGGGAGGGTTGCTGATGGATAGTCGTGGGGTTGAAATGGGCGTTTGGGTGGTTTCATTATTTCCTTTTACTACGGATATTAGCCGTCGGGTTGATGTCGGATTAGTGTCGAATAAGACAGCACTGCATGTAGTAGATTTATCAATACATGGGGTCTGATGGGTAAATCCCGTAGTAGCTAGATTGGTACCATGTCACAATCGAAATGAAAAAGAAAGCAGTGTTCGTGTACAAGACTTTCTGGGGTGCAAACTGATAAATTTAGACCGAGCAAAGGGAACAAGCTTTGTGCGACACCGACATAGTCATGAGCCACTACGAGGAAAACAACGACGACAGATGTAGTAGACATGTCAAGATGGATGAACAAGAAAAGAAAGCATTCAAAACGCCCGTGATTTTGGTATCTCTTGTTGCCAAAAAAAGTATAGGCAATTCCCAGCTCACTCCATACGCTATGCTCAAGTCCCGAAAAAAATGCACCCCCAGCCTCAGTGTTTTGACGCCCCCTATGCAAATGAAAAACCGTATCCAGATTCCAAGGTTTTCTTAATCCATTCAACTCACACATGCAAACAATGAATGCATTATCCTTCATCCGAGTCAACTACCATACTTTCACCAAAAGCACTGAAATCCTCGACTGCCCCACCCTGTGCATGGCGTCTCCTGCGGCTCCGTCTGCCCGCGACGCGATTTTGTTCAATTTCGCGTAACTTGCCACTCATGCGGCGCTCCAGCTCTTCGATCTCTTCGTTTTCTTCTGGTTCGCCTGCAAAAGTCGATTCAACAGCCGGGTCAGACTGCGCGTGTCCGCTATCGGATTCGTTGACTTCCAAAGCGCGGTTGAGGAGATCAGTAGCCATGGGGTCTTGGGGTGCGACGGCAAGGGCTTCATGCAGGGTGACAATGGCGTCCCAGCTACGGTCCATGTTAAGGAGTACTAGTGCTTTTGCTGCGAATACGCTGGGGTCCTTTGTGCCATGGCGAAGGACGTCGTCGAAAGTTGCGAGGGATTCGCTGTATTTCTCGTGCTTGCGAAGGGCATGTGCAAGGTTAATCCGCGTGGGTATCCAAGTATCGGGATCTGCTTCGTTTTGCTCTGAGAAGGCAAGTGCTCTGCGGAAGAAATGTATGGCGTCGACAAGCTGCCCCTCGTGGAAATAGACAACACCCATTTCGTTGAGTAGGCAGGGGTCGTTTTCACACAAGTCATATGATGTCTTGAGATACTCCTTTGCCAAGGTCAAGTTGTTTAATTGAAGGTTCTGCATGCCGAGGAACATCTGGGGCAGATGGGAGCCTTGGAACAACCGTGCAGCGGTCGAGTAGGCAGAAATGGCCTGATCGTGTTCGCCTTCAGCAGCAAAGGTATGTGCGAAACCAATCCATGCGGGCCCAAAGTGCGGATCCATCATAGACGACTTCGAAAAGTATCGGCGCGCTTCGGCTATGCGCCCGATTGCGAGATAGTATGTGCCAACAGCAAACCACACGCACGGTTCCGAAGGATGTGTGTCCGCAAGCTCATGGGCGAGGAGAAAGAGAGTATTTTTCTCGCCCAGTTCGTGCAGAGATGCTATGTGTATGGGCATGATGTTGAAATTATATTTGTCATTGGAAAGAACGGACGAGGTAAGAGCAAGGGTATCGCGGAATCTACACAGTGTGAACATGAGGTCGGCCTTGGAGAGAACAATATCCGGGTTTTCGCCAAGGTTGTAGTGAGTGGTAAGCGTCTCGGTGGCATTCGCAAATTCCTCGGGTCTGGTGTACTTGGACAGACGGGTGGTATAGAGTGTCTTTGTGAAGGAGGCAGCTTCTTGCGACAGCGAGGGATTGCTGGAGACGTTGATAGTGTCGAAGTTGAGCGACTCGAGAAACTTCCACTCCTCGTCTGGAGCCATGAGCGAGTTGGACATGAGGGCGTCGAAGGCCTCGAAACACTGGACGTCAATCTGGACGGCTGTCTTGTAGCACTCCTTTGCGCGGTCGAACGAGTTCAGCTTAGCATAGCAAACGCCACGCAGGTAGCACATGGCGGCCTCGGACTTGATGTTATCGGCATTCTCGCGGTCGCGCTCCTCACTCGTGGGCAGGCGCTCGTTGCGCGAGCCGGAACGGTTATGGCGGGGGCCGTGGCGTGTATTTACATGGACATGGCGCAACTTGGTACGGGCACTGTCTGGGGCGGCAATGAGATGTGTGGGGTTCTTGTCGCCGAGAATATGCAGGGCGTCATCTGTCTTGCCCAGCTTAATGGCGCAATGGGCGGCGAGGTAGCGGCATTGGGGAGTGCGTTCAATCAGATTGCCGCGCGCAAGCAGGGCCTGGGTGCGGTTGTAATTGCCCGTAGTGAAGTGGACCTGAGCCAGCCAAAAGGCATCTTGGTCATCGTCTATGGGGTGTCGTGAGCGGCCAGGGTAGTAGTGGTGGGCGAGGGGAGGGCAGCATACCAGTGAGGGCCAGCAGCTTATCGGCAACAAAGATGGCCGTGTCGTACTGGCAGCGGTTGAGGGCCTCCTGGCGCCATTCGCGAAGATAATTTTCCATGGTGACGAGCTGCTGTGGCCATGTGCTGGGGGAGTTATCGACGCGTAGGAAGGTGGGTCTTTTGGCGGGTTAAGACAAATGGGTGACTGAGTATATTACATGTGTAGTATGTCCATGCACACAAAGGCGACGCGCGGGCGCCAGCATGACACGAAAGCACATGTTTGCGGGGTTGCTGCGGACTCGCTGATTAGTCCGTTGTGTTAGTCAGCAAACTTGGCTGCCATAAGAATAATAGATTGCCGCTCCCTCACAGCCTCGTACAACACCACATAACACCGCACGACGCTTCAATAAACAACTCTCCCAAGACACTCACCGCCCATCATGTCTGAACGCAAAGTCCTCACCAAATACTACCCCCCAGACTTCGACCCTTCCAAAATCACCCGCCAGCGCGGCCCTAAGAATGCAGGACCCAAGCTCATGACCGTCCGCCTTATGGCGCCCTTCTCCATGAAATGCACGCACTGTGGCGAGTTCATCTACAAAGGCCGCAAGTTCAACGCTCGCAAAGAAACCACCGACCAAAAGTACTACAATATTGCCATCTTCCGCTTCTATATCCGCTGCACCCGCTGCTCTGGCGAAATCACCTTCAAAACCGACCCCAAGAACATGGATTATGAATGCGAGCGCGGCGCAAAGCGTAATTTTGAGCCCTGGAGAGAGGCCAAGCTCAATGAGGAGACCGAGGAGGAGCGCTTGGATCGCCTTGAGAAAGAGGAAGCAGAGCGCGACGCCATGAAGGAGCTCGAAACAAAAGTAGTCGACGCCAAGACCGAAATGGCTATTGCCGATGCCCTTGATGAGATTCGCTCAAGGAACGCGCGCCTCGAGAAAGCAGAGAGCCTGGGTACTCGACCCGACGTCCAGCCTGATGCTGCCGATGAGCGCAGGAAGAAACAAGACGAAGAGGACGCCGAGGCAGCACGACAGGCGTTTGCTAGTCGAAGCATGCCAGACATTGGTGAGGAAGCTATCGACGAGGATATGATGGATGTCCCGATAGACGTGCCTGTTGTCGCATCCTTCAGCAAAAAGCCAAAAGAAAAGAAGGACTTCAGTGCAGCGCTCGGCATCAAGAAGAAGGCCCAGGCCCCAGCTCCTACCCCAGCCCCTCAACCTCAAGTTAAATCAGCCCCACCACCATCGAAGCTGTCTACCATGCTTGTCCCCGGCTATGACAGCGATAGTGACTGAGATAAATCTAGCGCCACGATGATGCAAATACAGCTTTGCGCCCCTACCAACCCTGTCCCGAGACTCAGACACGCATGAGAATTGCTATCGAGTCGAGCAAGTATAGAACAACTAAAACATCGCCAGGATGAAGGACAGTGATCACTTCCAGATTCACACTCCAACATGGCAGCGGAAGAGACCATATCCCGACCAATCCGAAATGCGGGATTACCATTGTAGCTCCCAACATCAGTGCCACCGCAGAAATGCAATTGGCTTTCCATGGCTGGTATTCACCATGCCTCCACTGACTCGATCAGGGCAACCAGTAGTTCGGGCGATTGGTTGACGGGCCGTACCGTATACCCAATGGTCAAGCTCGCCTTCTCCTCGACTCAATACACAGGTGGGTAACCTTAGATATATGTGCGATATCCTCGCTCTGTGAATCTCATCACGTCCGCCTCTTGCTCAACAATGTCTTTATGTCATCAATACAAGCTACTCAAGCAAAATAAATACATTAACTTCATTATGCCTGAACAGCCACGTGAGTTTTTGATGTTCTGAACTCGCTTGAGCGACTTACCTTGGGATGCCTCGCGAGAAAAAAAGACGTGTACTCCCTTTTGCACCTTCCGTGTAAATCGGTCCCTCTTTTTGCAAGCTCTTAGTCTGATACTATCTTCATTTAGCTATCTAGTACTCTCGAAACTACATCTTCTCGAAAAATTCTGCATCAATACGATATCTCACTTCGTTATCAATATGCTTGTCCACGAAGAGCGACATTGTAAAAATTCATTAGCCATTCGGAACTTGCCGCACATGCAGATGTGAATCATTCACCCCTAGGAGAGCCATCGTTTGTATCCCGATGCGATTCGATCTTGACAATATCCTAATCTTTCTTCTGCTTACCCCATAATAGGAGATTTGCACGCACTTGTCACTGCGGGGGAAAGATGGTCATACTATCCTACCCTTTTTCTCTCGCATACCAGAATCCATCTTACTGCACCCATAATCAATCAAATCCGTTTGAATATCCTGTGGGCAAAATCGACACGAGACTTTCTTTCACTCTCTTACGCCTTTGCACCAATTGCGATGGACTCTTGGAAGGGCCTGTTTCCGCTCTCATTCACGAATGCTTACCGCTTATATATACGCACTCATTCACTCACTCTCGTTACGACAGCTATGCCAGATTTAGACACGTCATTTCACCTCGTTTGCGCGCCTTATTTTGGCACACACTCCCTCATCCCTCAGGTACAAATATGATTCCCACTTCGTTTCGCTCTTGAACCTTCTGCCTAAACCACGCACACACTCTCAGACACCACACGTCAGATTTCGAGATGAATCGCATATCCCTAGTCGTTATCATCTTCTTATATCTAGTTTGTCTGACTGCAAGCGAGATCAATCAGTCGGGGCTCACTGATAAATCTCGCGCAAAACCCTCCAACCCAGCAACCGGATCGGATGCGGAAACTGTCTATGTCGCGGCTACCGATAAAGTTCTATGGGACCAGGCAACTTGCAAAGGGGCTAAATTACTCTTTGGCACTACACTCAACCCTGACCAAGCCGTCCTACACTGCACGCCACTAACCACCCCATGGCATGGTACTCTTGTAAACGAGCTGACTACGTGGGGTTACAACGACATCAGCGATGACGAGAACAGGAAGGGAGCTTGCGACTTTAAAACAAAATATAGTGGCTTGACACGGGCTTTCGGTGCGCTGGGTATCAGTATGCGCGACTATAAAGATGGTGGACCTAATCGCTGTTTCATGGTCGTTCATTACAATGGCCCTGCTGTTGAGAAAAACCCTGATGGATCTCTCCCGCAAAAGTCGACACAACAGTACACTGTCAACGGGCGGAGATACAGGGTGAGTTGTTCAATCATTCCCGTGATTCAACCACTCAGCTTCCTAATACATCTCATTTTTCACAGGTAACGGGTGCCCACTTCATCATCGGCGTGAACAGCCGAGACGGATACATTTTCCTTATCGATCGTTCGTCTCCCGAGACCCAGGCCCGCAACCTGTGGAATATAGCCCCACAAATTCCAATCCCGCGCGACGAAATGCCTGCCTTGAGATCCAGTTCCGACATTGGTTGGGGTTTCTGGAATAGGGTGAGCGGCCATAATTTAGGAGGCATCAACGCCTTTTTTTCTTTCGAAGTCGTCAATGAAGATACTGGGCGCATTATTGAAATGGCGATGGAGAAAAGTGGTCATGACGAAGTGCCGCCTTGGCCAGGAGTTCGATTTGATTCGGGAACTGAAGAGTACAGGGCTCTTCTGGGTAAGTTGGCCTCTTATATCATCATCTTCCTGCGTTCCAACTTCAGAGTCAACATATTACAACATTGCCACCTGGACTGACATGTATCTCAGGATCACCAAACGGCATCGCTGCGGGATATTTGCTCGCCCAGCACAAGAGGGAAATCGGAGGCAACAAGTACGTCAGTCACATCATTGTCTTCATGGAAGATGATCCCACAGGGTGGCCCAACTTGCTTTTCAAAGTTGATTGGGCGCCACCTCCACCGCCGCACCCAGCTTCAACACGGGCTTTGCATGCAAAAAGCATTGGTGATAACGCTCAAGAGTTGCAGAATGAGGAGCCAAATATCATGGAAAGGGCAAAGGTTTTGGGTAGTAGCAGGGATGGTAAACACATTGTCAGGGAGCATGTGATTCGGGCAAATTAGTTGCCGTACAACAGGTTATAGACCCGAGATATAGATATCAGGAAGAGTGGGATTAGATTGGCTTATACCGATTCTTGGATGTCAGGCAGTAACCAACACATTGTCCCACTAGTCCATAATTAATGCATACCAAACCTCAAACCCATCTTTCCCTTTTTTTCACCTAGGCCAACAAGTGTCCATTCCACCCTTTGTCGACTCCCTTCCCACTCTTCACCCACACAATCGTAAACAGTACACCAAACGTCCCCTCTTCTTTCATGTCCTCACATCCATGCACGCGCCCTTACGATCACTGCTCAAGAAAACAGTTGCGGTGAGGGGTTGAAAGATATTAGTGATAGGAAAAGGAGGGAAGGTAGGTTCGGTATGGTTGTTCTGGATTGTGGTCAACACACCCAATCTTTGATGTTTCTATAATCATTTACCAAAGAAAAGGGTTCCAGGTCCGCGGCTCTAAATGATTACTTATGCGAATTATTCACTAAGTTCATATGTATGGTTGAGCGATCTTACGAGTTCGATTGACATGTACTCGATCAACTTTGATAAATCTAGTGTAACGTTAATAGTGATCAGTTGTAACGTCTAACCGTAGCGAGACAAGCTACAGGTACTTCAACTTTAAGGCAATAGAAGCTCTAGTAACCCCCTAATATCTGTTTAAATCTTGTTTAACTACGCAATATACCTATTTATAAGTACCTTGACACTTACCATGCTAAAAACTACGTTCGTATCGATGCTGCGGCCTTGATTTATAGATAGCCACTTTTCATGGTCTTGCAGTACTAAGTTGCCACAGCGCAACCATCAAGCTACACCTGCCTTTCAAACCCACAAAACAATTTGAACTTATTTCAAGAGCCTTTGTTTTGTGTTTAGAGGTTTTTATTAGCTTTTTGGCGGTTGTCGCGCGCTACGTCTTGCGACGTTACTACCCTGGTCGGTACTTCTAGCAAAGCGACCAAAGATCCTCCTTAGGCTGGTTCGGAATACATTGTATTATATATTAGCTAATAAGGGGCTGAGTAACGCCTTGTGGCCGGGCAGCTGACATGGTGCTGAGGGTCAATTGTATCGCACATGATTTGGCGGAGGTGGCTGTAAGATAGCAGCGATAGAACGACTGTTAGGTCTACTATATTCCCCATCAGGACTACCCATCATACACATAGCTTAAGTCTTAGAGCACAATACTCTCTATTCTATCTCTTAATTATTATCGCGAATCTTTATTACTAGATAGTATTCGCTTACTTCGCTTACTTCCTAACAAATATAAACGTATCTATACGAAACTTAATCTATCTCTACACGTAACGTGTTTTATAAGCGAGTCGGCCATACAAGCGAGTCGGCCACCCTACCAACTTTATACACCCTAAAAGCTATATACATCAATGGCTCCACCACCACGTACTCTACACTCTCGTAATGAAGCTGATATTTTTCTTGCTATCTCTTCTCTTAATAGCCAGCAGCTAAGTAGC